AAATAGGGATGGAAAAAAAAACTCACGGGACCTGATCCATGCGAGTACTCGACCCGATCAGATCAGATCGGAGAATACCCAGTTTGACCGGGGACAGGGTCAAATCGGGGATCCCAATCGGGGTCTCCGGCGGGGGCGGGGTGGGGACGGGGAGGATTTCCCGCCCCATCCCGTCTAATATTTTATTACTTTTTCTATTTTTTATATAACAATATTAATATATATTAATTTTATAAATACATTTTAATTAAAAAACAATAAAGCTAATATATCATTTAGCCACTTTTGGTTCACTTTTTATACTATTAACCATAAAAAAAATTAAAAATTAAACAAAATATATTTATAATAGGAACCCATCCCCGATCGGGGAATCCTCGCCCCATCCTCGCCCCCAAAATTTTGGGGACGGGGTGGGGATGGGGATGGCCCCCCGGTCCCACCCCACCCTGTTGCCATCCCTAGGGGCAAATCACCAAAAAATTGATCGTGGAATCCTCGACCATCCTTGCCCCCAAAAATTTCGAGACGGGGGCGGGGATGGGGAACAAATCTCCAACGGGATAGGGATGGCCCCCCGGCCCTGTCCCACACCGTTGCCATTCCTAGGGACAAATCACCAAAAAATAAAAAATAAAAAAGAACCATGTGCAAATTCAAACTTGAGGAGGCTAGCCATCGCACCAACCACTGGGACATTAAGACATTTTGTGAAATGATGCATACTTTTATATTCTAATAGTATAAATCTAAAAGTTCAGGGGGGCTTGAGCCCGTCTGGACCCAACGTGTATCCGTCCTTTGATACGAGTACTTTAATTATAGTTCAGCGGTAATTGACATATACTTCAAACCAATAAGTGGTGAGTTTGAATCTACTTGATAGTTGTAAGTAAATAAATAAATAAATAAATAAATAAAAAAGTCGTAAGTAAGTAAGTAAATAAATAAATAAATAAAAAAAAAGGCGAATAGGCCATCTGAAACGGTAAGGTGATTTATCCGGGGGCATTTGAAATTTCTAAAACTTATATTGAAAAAATGAAGGGTCATGGCGACAAAATTGCAATACTTGCAGGATCAGGGCTTCAGTTTTAGGTATCTTCATCGAAATACTATTTAAACCCACCGAAGGGGAACCCTAGTCCCCATCTCATCCTCCCTCGTCTCCTTACTTCAAACTTTCGCCCCCTCTTTATTTTGCATATCGTCGCTGCCAACGTCTGGATCTCAAGCTTAATCGTCGACCTACGCGCATTTTATCTGAATAGGATGTCTAATCAGCTTTGACGTGCTTGATTGCGTGAATAATGCGATACGGGAACTTTATTTCATCTACGTTTATCTATATTTCTGATTCTAAATTTTTACGTCTGTCAATTTTCACCTCCGAATGTCGAATTTGATTGATATGTTAACGGCAGTGATGATTTTTTCATATACCATCAAACTATGAAAGCTCCGGCGAGCTTGTTGATGTCACATTGAATCTTTCTGAGCCTGCTTGCTTTTACAATTTGTAGGTTTTAACTCATTTTGTTTTGGAATTCAATTTACGAGTCTCTCTAATCGTACTGTATCGAATGCGAAATTCTGTAAGGCAATAAATTAGAGTCTCTGATGCGCTATTTTCCGTAGCGTTGTCAGCGCTGTACGTTGCCGATATGGAATTGGGGCCGAGATTCTGGCACTTGCTTTCTTTCCCATAAGACTTGTGCATTTAGGTGCTCCTACATTTTTCGCCAGTATCCAGTATCCTTCTTGTTCAACTTATTTCAATTTTGATGTCGGTAGAACGGCCTTTTGAGTTTATTCCAATGGACTACCTTCTTTTTTTTTTTTTTTTCTGAATCTACAAGTGTTCTTGATTTACCAACGGAATCATCGAATGATTTTTCTAATCTTCATCCGTTTATTCCTGATGCAAATGTATTTGTGCATGTAGGTCTTCAGTGTTTTGATTACTATGTCGTAGGAAGGAATGATTTGTAATTTGTAATTGATGTTTTGAGCAGTTGAGAATGAAAAAGGGAATTATAGCGAGAAATAAATCTGAAGAAATAACGGAGAGAACAACGTTTCATCCGCTGGGTGCGTCTAAATGCCCGTATTGCAACCTGAAATATTTATGCACTTGAATAAAGTTACAAGAATCTGAAGACCACCACCAGTAACAGTTGACAGGGCTTGCAGCGAGGAATCTGAAATAAGGCAAGCGAGTTTCGAGGCTGATTCTAAGTTGAAGAATAATACATGTTAATTTCTGCAAGGGAAAAATGATTTTTTTATTAATAAATTCAATTTAAGTAATAATTTGTGTACCAAAGATTATATTTATCCACGTCAGTGAAAAAGCTGAAATAAAAATATAAGGTATTACTGGAACATGATATATTTAATATAATTGAATTTTATGAATTTTTAAGTTTGTGAAGGAAGACATTAAAGCAACGATTGCAAAATCGTCCGTGAACAACTGATTTTGCAATTGCATGAGCCAAGTTTTCAAATACATGGCCAAAATGAACTCACTTTGGTTCTAATTGGTATCTATATCTTCAACTAAGAGGTCTCACAACGTGGTTAAGTGGGAAAAGACTATTTAGGGAAATGAAATTAGTGTGAAATTGAAACTACCATGGGATTATGAAGAATGATGACAACACCAACCCAGAAAGATCACTTGTGAGAATGAAATCGAAATAGAAATCAAAATCATGTGAGAATCAAAATCATGTGAGTAGAGAATGAAGTCAAGAGTAGCGAGGAATTTAACTTGCTTTAAAAAAAACTGGTTGGACAACGTGCAGGAAGAAACTGCTCCAAACCGACTACCGAAGACAGAAAAAAAACGTGCATGTCATTCAGGTTTATTGCATATCATCTCAATTCTCAACTATCTCAAGGTATTTGGAAACTCATCACTTACAATAAGGGCAAGCCTCTTTCTTTTTTTGCCTCCAACAAAGTATTAGACATGTCAGCATTATTATGAACTCAAAAGAGGTTGGATTCTAACACAACCTATACCGAGATGGAATACGAACTGTTACAAGAGTCAAAGACTACACAACTGTAACGAATGGCACAAACACAAAGCCGGAGAAGATAGACGCCATGCATGGCCAGGACTCCTGCACTATTGTGAGCCGTGGCCGTGACCTTCTATAGTATTACAGTTCTACACCCACAAGTATGCTTCCTGTGGGGATTCGTAAAAGGTTAATACAGCGGGTATATAGACCATGCTTCAGCTGAAAGAAAGGGGATCCAGTGACGAGGGGAAAGTTTACCTACTAACATCAAATGAATTACAAATAATGAGAATAAAAATCAAGGAGGAAGCTTCTCCAGTGGTTTCACAGCTGCAACAGCACTAAAATCAGATTTCATGTACTTCTCATACGTGACTTTCAGCTGTCCCAGTTGAGCAGATTGGTGAAATTTCAAGATCATCTCAGCGCATTCCCTGAGATAAAACAAGGACAAGATTTTTAGCATGCGAAGGTAATATTGTAAGCTGCCATAAACGTTAGGTGCTACCTTATTTGGGACACTTCGTAGCGTGCATGTTTGTTTAGTAGTGGAGTCCAATATGGACTTATCCGCAGCATACACCGTGCAACATATATCGCCGATGCACACAACAACGACGGCTTAAAACTAAGAGCTTCGTATTCAACCAAGGTCAGTTCGATCAAGTAAAATGACAAGTGTTCAAGCTGTAGCAGAATCCAAAGCAACACACGACTATTAGGATTTCTTTAAGTAAACCATATCGTGATAGTTTTCAGAGGCTTCCAGACCTGAGTATTAGACTGAGCAGCCTTGAGAAACCTTAACATGAAAACATATGGAGTAGGCATGTTCAGGCGAAACTTCAACTTCTTAAGAATGAGTGCTTCCTGCAGGGAAATCAAAACATAAGAATAGGATTATGATGTTTCTGCATCACTACAGAAACAAAACCTTCAAGCTTCCCTTACCCAGCTAAAATCTACGTCACTAAGAAAGGTCAAATGCAGCAATATTTGTAGTATAAAATACTATATTCTCTATGACCATAACTGCGCCACTCAAAACAGCATGCTGGGGGACAAGGGTGAAAGTCTAAACTGATCTCCAAGACAGCTTGGTCTGTTTGGGGCCTTTTTTTTTAATATAGTTTTTTTGGATAACCGGGAGTTGGACCTTTGCTCCCATATACCCGGAAGCACGGTTTGTTTGGTAATTAGAATCAGTTTGTTCAATACTTCAATTTGATACAATTTTGAAGTTCTGATCAATTGGTTTAGTTGATTCTAGTCAGTTTGATCAGTTTATTGTCAAAGGAACTCAGAGTAGGCATAACAAGTCCAACAAAAATTATAAAAGCCAAAACTTATTCCTATTGAGCATGACCATGGGTATAGGTGAAATGATTGGTGAAATGAAAGATAATATTTTCTCCATTTACTCCTCAACCAGCCACTGAAAAGTCGATTATATTTTCAAGAAAAACAGATCAAACTGCAGAAAATAAATATCCAACTGTACCATTTGTAGCATTTGCTGTCTTGAGTAAGACTCAGCTGAAATGCTAATTAGATCCTTAACCTGTTTTCAAAGACACAACAATATCTGATCAGCCTAACTTTTAGCAAGAAACCATCATATCAAGACAGACAAAAGTCGAATATGATAATATTTACCCTAGGATGCCAAAAATCTTCATATTTCGATGCCAACAACAGTGCAGTAAGACCAAGCAACTGCATTTCATTCTTTTTTATTATGACTTGGGAGAGATACCGGTCAAACAATGTAACAGAGAGAAATAGTGTTTCAGGCATCAAGTCAAATTTGAAGTGTACCTACGACCAAAAAAACATAGATTATAGCTCATAGCACAGCATATCTGAAAGCCTTATAGCTAGAGAAAGAGGAGGGGGGGTGGCGGCGGGCATGCTAGGGAATGAAAATGAAGAAAAAGAAAGTAATAAATCTAGAAAATAGATAGGTACTTCAATCAACCAGTTGATCAAAATGCCTCGCATAAGGGGGGTAATTTCTGTTTGTACTGATAAGTAATTTGAAAGAGACGAACTTTGTGCCTGAAATAGAAACAAATTTAGTTTGTTAAAACAACAATAATAGTCTGCAGTTCCAAGTCAAAGCTAGATCATTAGAATAGGCGTCAGGTTACATAAATAAATAAACTTCGCAAAATATATAGTTACAAAATCAGGCTCATAAAGTCTATCTGAAAACCATAGAAAGCCTGATCTAGGACACTTCATAATAGCAAATAAAAAGGACAAACAAGGGAAAAGAACATAAGAAGTTAAAACCTGCAAATTCTTTTTAGATAAAAAAAAAAAAAAACAAACATCACCTCTATAACCCAATAATACTGATATATCTCCTCAACGTATTCAGCAACCTCCATTTGGTTGAAGTCATTGTCAATACTGGGTAGGTTAGCTAGCCCTGTATCTACAGCACATTTGTCCAGCAACTGCAAAAAAGTGACAATAATAATAGAAGCTCAAAACAAGGTATGGAGGTGATATACTATAAATGTCAGCCTCACCTTCGCTCCAACAACCAACAAGGATGTATACGATCTCCTACGACCAACTTTTTTCCTGAAAGAGAAATCCGTACTCGTACTTGGATTACAAGTAGGTTCAGATGCATCCTTCTCTTGAATGGACACATTAGTTATATCCTCACAAAGAGATGTCGACGGTTTCACAATCGCGGATGATGATGCAGTATTAGAAATTGATTTGATTACAACTGTTGCATATTTGGGTTTTGATGCCTCTTGAGTACCAGAAGCCTTCTTCGTGGTCCTTACAATGGGCTGGAAGGTGAGATAGTAAAAAAGCTTCATGATATGACGTTAAAAAATGCATGCATATAATGAAACAAAAGCACATACTATTAACACCTTGGACTGGTGAAGCAAAAAAGTTCTTAAGCAGCACTCAACAGAATCAAGAATCCATTGCAAACATCACAGAGAAAACATATTGCTGCAAATGATTATTAAGCAAATACCTTACTAGACTTCTTCGACGTTGCATTTGTGTCCACCTTGGCTTGACCCCTGAAATTCCAATGCCACAGTCAGAATCTCCAAAATAGATTTTCCTAATTGCTTAGCATTCCATAAGCAAAAGCAAATATGGCTAAAAACCATTAAAAAAGAGAAGGGAAAAAAAAGAGTGAAAAGAAAGAAAGAAGAAGAATTTTTTGGGGAAATATCACAAATTTGGGACAAAATAGTATTTGAGGAGATTATGGGTGAGGTAAGCAGACATATAAAGCAGAGAGAGAGTGATTCATTTATTGGCATTATGGTTAGAAATATGTGAGACTTGAGAGTATGATGCATTTAAACAAGCTGTTAGGAACAATTGAATTTCACAAATGCTAACATTATAACGTGGCCATCGCTCACTCGGTTTTTCCATAGCTGAATTCTTGTATTTTTTGCTTGGGTTACTGCATTCTTGCCAGATTTAGCTATAAATGAAGGGGAAAAAAAGGTTTAGTCCGATCATGGTCTGCTCTGTCATCTAAAGCTGAAAAACAATATGAATTAGAACGTCTTAATTCTTACTCATACATGCTTGAAATCCCTTGGCATTTTCTAGCTTCTCAGTAACTTCCTGAAAGTAAAAAATAAGAACTTACTTAAAAGTACACAGCCATAAAAATAAAATAAATAAATAAATGAAAACAGGGAAATTGATTCTATTTTATAGCTTGCTTAAGATCCCTTGGTATATCATAATCTAGTGAGCAACCTTCGGGTTCAAAGCAGTTGCCTGGTTCATCCTCTTTAGCACTGGTAAAGATCTCCTTCAAAACAAGAGAGACGAGAACAATATAATTAAACTCTATATCTTTTCATTACATTAATGAAATCTGTTTCATTTCAAAAAAATAAAAAAATAAAAAATACAAGAGGGCAAAAGAATTTTTTAATCATCAAACCTTGTTTCAACAAGAGACATCGTCCTAGTTCTCCTGAGAAATAAACCATAGTTCGATATAATATGCATCTAAATCAACAAGTATGCACAAGAAAGGGCACTTCACAAACGCCTATATGAAGATCAAAACTGTAAACCGTGTAATTTTAAATCTTCTAATAAAGGTTAGAGTGGGAAAAAAGAAATTACAGAACCTGGCATTTAAAGTACTGGATTCACAGCTTCCATCTATTTTGTTTGTTTCATAGACTGAAAACCCTTTTGAATCTTCGACACACCCTAAAAAGTAAATCAGATCAATACCACAGGTCCACGTGATAAATTACATATACTAGTGAAAAGCATTATACAGAAACCTTTTCTTGAAGCATGTAAGTCACGAACAGCTTCGCCTGAATTCTTCACTGCCTTTCCCTTGTCAAATACAACAAAAGCAACGTGAATATATTTTGTTGGTGATATAAAAAGGACATACTTTAAAGACTGGCAGCCAGACAAAGAAAGAGACATATTTTTACAACTAAACCTAGCAAAATTTACATACCAATGGCAATGATTTCCTAAGTGGGACACGGACTGTACTGCTAGCTCTAGTCCCAATTGTAGCCCTACAAAAACAGGTGGCAATTACCACTTGCATCAGCTTAATTTCTAGAGAGAGAGATAACTGTAAGGGCCGGGGGAGAAAACGTATATATTGCACAGAAAAAGAACTTCTATATTGCACTTTATAACGTTGTGTAATTTTCTAATTCCTAGAAGGCAAACTGTACACCAAAAAAATGGACCGGAAGAACTTCTCCGTACACAAACAAATTTCTACAGCCACTCATCACGCATTGAGAGAGAGAGGTGAGCACATGACTCACTTATGCTTGGAGCCATCTTGCACTGTTTTCCTCGAAGAGTTGACTCGGACGTTACTCACATCTGCCAATACTCTTCTTACCATGCTTTTGGGCCCTGACAAAACAGAGTAGAGTTTATAAGCAAACTCTCAAAATAATCTAAATTTTCTATGGAAGTAAACCATCATTATTTATTACCAGAGACTTCAATTTTGTCTGCATTCTTCGATGAGCGTTGCAGGCCTCCCTTCAATTAGAATTACCTCAAATGTAAAAGTTAATACTTGACCACTTCTCCAACGAGAGTTTATGTTCTCTTCCAACTGTTATAATTTTGACCCAAAAGCTGAGAGGAGGAGGTCAAATTACCTTTGATTGAATCGCACAATCTGCTGAAGACCCCTTCTTTATTGTTACAGGTTTCCTTCAACACAGAAAATATAAAATAATCAAATAACTGAAATTAGTTGAATAAATTCAATTACCTGCTGCTGGTCAGGGAATGTTTGCATTTATGATACCTACAGCCTTAACCAAAGTGACTTAGTTATGTTACATTTTTTAAACGTTCAGCAAGCTCTTTGTTTATGGATAATAAAAGCTAAAAAATACATTCAACCATTTCAATACTCTATACGGGAGAGGGAAGAAACTTGTTCGTGGAAACATTTCTGCATATTGAACAAGGAAGGAGTACAAAATAGAACTAAAATGTGTGGAGAAAGGAAAGAAACTTTAAAGGAACAGAAGTAAGAGTAACAGAAGTAAAATGACACTTACTTGCAACTGGAATCAACTTTAATCTTATCTTTCTCCGTATAGACCTTAAAACTTCCCATCGCTACTCGTACCCATGGTGGGGGAGAGGAAGGAATAAGAAGGCAGTTAAATTTGGAGAAGATCTTGAATACTAAATTATATGTTGAGGATATCTTAGTATCTTACCACTCTTACGGATGCGATTATCCTCAGTAGGCAGACCCGCGACCAGGCAGTCTTTCGCCTAACTCCGACCAACAATATCGTTTAACAACAGTCAAGGAACTATGGTCAATTCAAGAATTAAGAATCCTACTAGCATTTTCTATTTCTATACCTTGGTAGCCACCATTTCTCACTGAACTTCGTTTCCAGTTTCTGATCTCTGATCGACAAAAAGGTTTTGTTGCCTGCTCAAAATCAGTCAACAGACTCAAATTCATAGAATAGACCTCATTTCACCAACGCCAGGAGGGAATGCAGTATGCAAGCATACAATTAAAAAAAAAGGTCGGGATCTAAGCAAATACTTGCAACCTGGCCCCTCCCAAACCCTAACTCTTAGTTTTTAACATACAAAATAAGGGCCCTATCGTGAGAATGCTAGACGTGAAAGAAAAAAGAGAACTCATTATCAATATTCTATAGCAAGTAACTAAAAAGAAGCCAAATCGACCGAAATTTTGACTACAACTTATAAAAAGGGAACGATGCGGCAGAGACTTTGAAATGGTAACCAGAGCAGAGGGGAACTACCATTGACATTCAATAGATAGACATACGAGAAATTGAGCTTGAGAGAACCTTAATTGACGAGGAATTCCGGGATGTTCATGTTCATCTAAGCAATTTCCCCGTTTGTGTCTGCTGAAGGATTACTCGGGACCGGAGGCGGGTAAACGTCCAACTCCAAGTTTTGAAAAACTACAGCAAGTTTACTGTTCTGCCCCTGAGGAGTCCGAAAATATAAAATTACAAAAAATTTGGCCCATGCAGGTCTCGAACCTGCGACCTTCGCGTTATTAGCACGACGCTCTGACCAACTGAGCTAATAGGCCAATTTATTATTATAAATAAAGTTGAAATTATAAATAAAATACTACTTTTATATTTATAAAATATTAAGAATATGGGCAGTTAATTAAATAAATGTTTTGATATTGCTACTGTCATTTAACAACCCAGTAATAGTAAATACATAATTTAGCAGATAATATCTTCTTTTTTAAATCAAAGGTTAAATTCAATCTCAAACTAATTCATCTTGAAGGGGAAAAAAAGACAAGCATTGATTTTCTCGAGAGTATTTATAGCATACACAAGTTATTAATGTATATGATGTAATGAAATTGAAGCCAACTTAATGGCCACCAAGTCCCTAATGCTTTGTTGGTTAAACGAGTGTGTGTTTCTAGAGCTTGCTAGAGTAGTGGATTTGAATGGTAATTAAAGGAGGAAAAATAAAGAAAAAGGTGGGTGTAATCTTAAGCACTAAAAAGTTTGATTCAGTGGAGAAAGAAAGGTGTGATTTGTTTAAGGGGAAGGTGAAGAGTAATGACATAATATCGACATTTTCTGGTATTGACTTTGTTTAAGGAAGCACAATTGAGACTCCAGCTTTGTAATTAAGCCATTTTTGCACCTGTTTAGGCGTTTGCATGTCGACATCGAAATCTCAAATCACTTTTTTAACGTCGCCCTATTCTAATTAAACTAATTATGCTTTTTAGGGATCCTCACCAGTAGGCAGTAGCACTTCTCTTTATTGTCGCCTGCTTCTGCCTGACACTGCTATTAATTTTCTTTCATTATTTGGGAATGACCGACTTTTGATATGAACCGCAGCAAGTTGCCAAAGGCGAAGCTTATGCGAATTGGCCTGACGCCACCCAAAAATACTTGGAAAATGAGAACAGAATATTTTGTTCTGATATTATTATTTGAAGAATGGTTTCTACTTTTTAGCGCATCTGAAACAGCATCCTCCATCCATATATATATATATAATATGAATGATTGTTTTCCTGTGCGTGTAGCTAAGCTAGCTACCGCTCGAAATTGTACTTGGTATTTGGTTGGGATGGATTTTACTGTATTCGATGCCTCTCATTATTAGCCAGCCACAGCAGTCAGCAACAGCCAGTGATTTCAAAATTGCTCATTATTTTTGTTTCTTTTTCCTTTGTAACTAATAAGCTCTGAGAGTTTATTCTATACAGTAACTAAATTAACTATCCATCGCTCAAAGTCAAAACCCACTACCCAAGAGCTCTCTCCACACCCCCCACTACCTTCCTCCCGCTATTAATTCCTCTTCAGCTCTCCACACCGCTCCAAGTCACGGAATTAAATCTTCCCAAAATGTTAAAGATTTTCTTCGTTTCTGTTGTCCTGATCATTCTCTCTTCCGTAGCTTCCGGCAGCCGGGAGTGTAGCTGCGATTCCGATGCGGCGGAGCACAGCGCAGAGGCAGAGGAAGCAATCAAATACAAGGTGGGTTCGATTGCTTCGGTACTCGTGGCCGGCGCTGCGGGGGTGAGCCTTCCTTTAGTGGGCAAGAAGATTCCGTCTCTGAGGCCTGAAAATGACATTTTCTTCATGATCAAGGCCTTTGCTGCGGGGGTGATTTTAGGGACTGGGTTCATCCACATACTGCCGGATGCGTTCCAAGACTTGACATCGCCCTGCATCGGCCACCACCCTTGGGCTAACTTCCCATTTGCGGGATTCATTGCGATGGCCTCCTCCATCGGCACCCTTATGGTGGACACATTTGCAACCAGCTTCTACGAGAGACGCCACTTTAGTAAAACCAAGCAGCTCGTGCTCGTCACACGCCAGGAAACAGACGAGGAGCATGCGGGTCACGTGCATGTGCACACGCACGCCACGCATGGCCACGCTCACGGCTCCCGCTCCGCCGCACCCTCCGCAGAGTTGACTCTGCCTCAGCTAATTCGCTACCGGATTATATCTCAGGTACGCAAATCATACACATAATTATATGCATGAAAGGTGGCAGTTAATGGTTAATATTTGAGATGTGCTAGATTTTGGATGGCTTTTCAGGTGTTGGAATTGGGAATCGTGGTTCATTCAGTAATAATTGGGATATCTCTTGGTGCTTCTCAGAGCCCTGCGACCATTAAGCCACTGCTCCTCGCTCTGTCTTTCCACCAGTTTTTTGAAGGCATGGGACTCGGTGGCTGCATTTCCCAAGTATTCAATTCAAACTAAACTATATCTATATGATATCAATTGATTTTGCTGTGTCATATAGTATATATCACGATCATCTAAAGGGTCTAAAGTTTGTAGAATTATTATGTTTACATGTAGGAAATGAATGAGAATATAAGTCCAAGAAGAAAGTAAAAGAAAAGGCGAAATAGATGGAGGACACAGGACAGGACACTAATTAAGTGACGTTATGGGTTTAAAAAATTGTTGAGGAATATGTCACAATCATTTCTAACCCTAGCTTTTGATTGAACGGTCAAACAAGCTGAGAGGGGGAAAAAAAGAGAAGGGTTAATTCTTGGCACAATGGAAGAGGAACATCGATGTTCGAAACCAATAAGAATAACTTTCTTTTGGAAGTTGACCTATGGCTACGTTTTGATGCGTATTTAGGGGTTTAGACTGAGGTTCCTGTGTCCTTAATTGTGATTGCAGGCAGAATTCAGGTGGCGGTCAGCGGCAGCAATGGCGACGTTTTTCTCAGTGACAGCGCCGGTGGGAATTGCAGTGGGAATCGGAATCTCGGGAGTTTACAGAGAGAACGGGCGGACGGCTCTGATCGTGGAAGGGAGCATGAACTCGGCATCGGCAGGGATATTGATATACATGGCGCTGGTGGACCTTCTTGCCGCGGATTTTATGAACCCAAGGATGCAAACCAACGTGGGGCTCCAAGTAGGAGCCCATATCTCTCTTCTTCTGGGTGCTGCCTGCATGTCTGTATTGGCCACATGGGCTTAATCATCCCTCTTTTCCTCCTCTATTAACCCAACCCAACTGAAGTTTCTCATTTTTTGTGTTCAAAAGTTTACTCAAAAACTGCATGTGGGCATTAGCCTATCCTTACAATGGTAGAAGCGGGGGAGAGTAGGGGGGAAAGCAGGGGGGAAAAGGAAAAATAGACTATGTTTCCTTTCATTGAAAGTCATCCTTCAATTTTCAATTCATTTCCAAATAAATAGTTTAGTAGTCACGTTAGCCGCGCTTCACTAATAGCGCTTTACTTACACGCTAGCGTCGCGTTAGGTAGATCCGCAGAGCTACTATAATGTCAATCTCGTTGAAGTCGAAAAAAGGCCTAAAAAATGCACAATAATTAGTCTTGGACAGTTTTATTTGTGAAAAATGTATATATAGCCCTAAGGACCAAGATGGTCGAATATCAAAACATAAATGTGTTAGAGGATCCTATTTTTCAGCGATGACCAATCAAGGTCAATCAAAATGGGGATCCATTTTTTACAATGACCACCGTGGTCAAATGGGCGACTCTAGTTTATCTTCATCAACCAAATTGGAGAAGTCTTCAAGAACCCAAAGGACAAAGACAAGCTAGCAAGGTCTCAGAGACGGGAATTCATGAGTTGTCAAATGGGCGACTCTAGTTTATCTTCATCAACCAAAAGTAACACCATTTCGGGAACCCAGAGAGGTGTGTTCGCGTGCCTTTTACTTGGAATCTTTCTCTTTTGTATCGGGCGTATGCATTTTAGTATGTCCACTGGTACATAATAGAAATATATCTAATATAGTACAAAATACACCAAGGCAACAAGTTGTAGAACAATACTGGTGTTTGTAAACGATACTAACACTAGGGAAAAATATCAACTACAGAAAATATTACCATGATGCATGACAAAAAGAACTGGCCAGTGGCAAGCAAAGAAGACGGGCTGGGAACAAAGCATGCATAGATTTAGATTTATGTGAAAATTCATTGCAGAGAGAAATTTCAGATTTACTGTGGCGGTCAATAATACAAAACTATATGCTTTTTTAGAACAAGTCACACATTCATGACACGTAGAAACTATAAACCATAAATTTAAAAATTTGAACATCTTTTATGACTGTAAAGAAGAGGACACGGCTGAGAAAGAACAAGGACGTGCACACTTTCTCAGAAGAACGCCAATGGAATCCTTTTCAAAGCTACCTTGCTTCTGATTACGTTACCATTTTACCAGGGATAAGATCTTTGTTTGTGTTTGTAATCAATAAATTCAAAAGTTTAAATTGATGGGTTAGATCAACGAACTCGTATGAACTTGTATGGTGGATTAGCTCAATGAAATATTAATGCTATCTTTCCACTAGAGTATAGAGTATATGTAATGAGTGGTGGAGGTAGAAAAACCCAGAACAAAAATAGCAGTGCAAGTGCATTAAACGTTGTGGTATAGAAATGGGCCTCAATTAAGCAGGAGGTATATGAATGGACCGGTGTTGGTGGTTAGGGAGGGGAACATCATATTTTTCATTATACAAATTTTGCAATTTGCATGACGCTGCCTAATTAACAACTTCAGAGAGAGAGAGAGTTGAAGAAGAAGGCGAAGGTGGAGTAGAGTTGAAGCAAGAAACACACTCACACACACAGCAGAGCAGAGCAGGGGTACTCTTTCTTTTCTTCCATTGGTGAAGCAAGCATATATGCCTACAGCAGGCAGCGGCATCGGCATGCAGATTCATTTTTAGACAGTAAACTAAACTTATAACTTAATATAATGATGAATGGTCCCGAACCCAACAAAAAGCACAACAAAAGAAGAGAAAACTTCCCTCTCTTATCTAAGATGTACACCCGCTTCCGCCTCCGCCTCATCGCATAACTTCACTTGTACACATGGCTAAGCAAAGTCCCCACCTACAAAACCATCCAAAGAATCCCTCTTTTTCTGCCACTTGTCTTCCTCCATATACAACTTTTATTTTAATGCACTTCCTCCCCACTCCCTTTATTTATTTCTATCCCTATTATTGCCTCTCTCATATATGATATGTGCATCCCATTCCTCTGTTCTTCCACTTCTCCCAACTTCCATCCCCACACAAACGCAGTAAACTTCAACTTCCCCTTGCTTCCATCTTCAAGTATCGGATCATCATGGAATTAATTACCAGACTCTGCCTTATTCTTCTCTTTATATCCACTTGTGCAACTGATTTCTTCACTCCCTGTGGTAAGTTTTTTATTCTCCATATCACATTCACATTCACGGCTACCTGTGGATCCATATCTCTCCCTTGCTACCTACCCTACACTACACATACAATACATACAGTACGCAGATTTATTAATATTATCATATTGGGTAGCTGCATCTGCATTATTGGAAAAAATGTACGTAGGTCCCGTGGAAGTCACATCATCGCCCTTATTAACTCCCACTAACTAAAATAATATTAAAGTTACAAGTTAGAAGCCATGCAATTGCAAAGTGGAGTGGCTGGCCCTGGCTCACTTTTTAAGCCTCTGCCCTGCCTCCGCTCCAATACAAATCCAAAGCAATCCCATGCTTAGCAGAGAAGTAACACCTTTTTGTTTTTGTTTGCTTTTTCAAATGACAAAAAAAAAAAAGAAAAAAAAGGAGAGTTTATGAATTTGTGTGTTTTGTGAGAATTCATGATTTGCGTTTGGCATGCAAAAATAGGACATGTTTAATTTATAATTATGTATATGTGAATTGTGAATTGTTATGTTTGTAGATTGCAGAAGTGTACATAGACGGCGTACGATCCACAAGGGGAAGAAATTCCAACTGGCCAAATACCTGGATGTAATTGGTCAAAAGGTGAGACACGTGGATGAGGCTTCCAACTCCCAACCTTACGTCAGCTCCCCATTCACTCTGCCGCCGTTCGATTCGCTTCCTCCTTATTCCCTGCCGGACAACGCGCCCCCTTACTGTTCATATCCACAACCCAATACCCCTACTCCTGCGACGACAGTCCCCTCTCCCTTCGCCTACATGTCGTCACCCCCTCCCCCGCCCTTCTACTATCTTCCCCCAATCCTTCCCTCTCAGAGCCCACCTCCGAGCCCACCTTACTACTACGAGCCCAGCCCACCAAGTTACGAGCCCAGCCCACCCGTGTTCCTCCCGAGCCCACCCGTGTTCCTGCCACCGGTGATTTACCCTCCGCCGAGCGTGCCACCCCCTCCCCACTCGGCGCCCAGTATAGCCCTGTGGTGCGTGGCCAAGCCGTCGGTGCCGGGCCCAATTATTCAAGAGGCCATGAACTATGCCTGCGGGACGGTGGCAGATTGCGGCTCCATACTGCCAAACGGACCATGCTTTTTGCCCAACACGCTCTTGGCCCACGCTTCCTACGCCTTCAATAGCTATTGGCAGAGAACCAAGGTGGGCGGTGGGACTTGTGAGTTTGGCGGTACTGCCATGCTTGTCACCGTGGATCCCAGTAAGATTCTCTCCTTCTTTTGAATTCTTCTTAATAATTTCTTTTACTTGTTAATTAATATAAGAATTTTGTTTTCAGGTTATGATGGGTGCCGTTTCACTTACACGTAGACCGCGATTGGATCCATGTTTATCAACTTTTGAAGAATATGATAAGGATGTATAGAGTAGACATGTAGAACACGAAATCACTCCATTTTTCTCTCAACCTTTTGCTAGAAATAATTTTGTTGAAATAAATCAATACATAGATATGTGTTTGATAATACTTTTCATTTTTTTAAAATTTGTGATGATTTACTCACATATATTAAAAAAATTAAGAAAAAATAAATATGCATATATGTATTTCGTGGTTTTCAATGAGATGAACGGATCACTTGTAGATATTTTTACTGGTTATTTTCTCATCTTTATTATTGGTTAATTTTCAATTTAATATAATGTAGTTTATACTCTCAAAAGAATGTTAATGATCTCTAATGGGATGAAATTTTAATAATTTACTTATTTCAATATACAGGTACGATAATATTAATATATATATATAGTCAAATTATTTGTTGGGAGCATGGTGTATGTTTATATTGATTCATGAACTATGGTCTATGTATAAGTTAAAGATTAAAAGAAAGCCAATAAAATTTGGTACAGGACAATTTGATTGTGATATGATTGCAGCTTCAATAGTAAAATAAAAATGGAAAGTTAACTTATTGGTGAGTGTCAGCTGCCATTTACATTTGTTGTATTATCATAATTTAGATGATGCCAGACCACACCCCAAACGACATGACATTCACCACCTACCCATGTTGCATGGTATCCATATCTATCCCACGTGAGTCATCCCACTCTTCCCTTGCCCATTTATTTAACAAGGACAAAAATACGATTAAAACTAACTTCTTTTTTCCCGCTTGAGGCAAGATTAAAACTAACTCAGATGACTTTTATCCAAAAAAAAAAAAGGGAAAAATCATATGAAAAATAAAATCAATAAACATAAGAATCAAAATTATTTTGATTTTGAATGAAGTTTCTATTTGTGTTAAATATCTCGTCTTAGAATTACATAGTAATATCTCTTATATATTTTACTTATGAAAACTATATTTTCAATTAGTCTATAGACAACTAGTTTAGATTTTACTTTTAATCCAAACCTTCAACTTTATTTTTATGTAGTTAAGTAATATTTTAATAAGCTAAATTGTGTTCATATTTACACCAACTAATTTAATTTGAATTAAAGAGATCATAAATAAATTTAACATAAAATTATTTACTACCTTTTTTGAAAAAATAGGTCCAAAACCACTTCTTCAATATTTGACTTTTAATATGATAATTAAATATTTTTCTAAGCATAGATGGTTATTGAAAAACAATTTGAATTATTGTGATAATTTTAGAAAAAAGAATCAGTGAACCGAGCATGAATGGAACAATAGAGAATAAATTCCATCCCACCGGGCGCTGGTTGGGCGACCAAAAGTAAAACCCTATTTGTATTTGCCTTTGCCTCTGCCTTTCTAGTTTCTTCATCTATATCGCCGCCTGCAACACACTGCAACTGCAATGGAGGACGGTTTCGCAGCTGAGAAGCTCTTCAATCAGGGCTTTTCCTACACCTACGACGATGTCATCTTCCTTCCTCACTACATTGACTTCCCCACTGACTCCGTCCAACTCGCTACCCGGCTTACTCGCAACATCCCCCTCTCCATCCCCTGCGTCTCTTCCCCCATGGACACTGTAACCGAAGCCTATATGGCTTCCGCCATGGCTGCTCTTGGTGGCATCGGTATCATACACTCCAATGCCCCAATCCCCCACCAAGCTGCCATGGTCACTGCCGCCAAGTCTCGCCGAGTTCCAATTTTGTCCAATCCTGTTTTCAAATCTCCATCTCACCGGATTGATTCCGAAGACGATTTTGCTTCTACGCCCTTCGTTCTGATCACAGAGTCGGGTACCTCAAACTCGAAACTTTTGGGATATGTCTCGCACGCGGATTGGATATCCCAGGGGAACAAAGAGTTGAAAATATACGATTACATGGTTAACTCGGGGGTTTCGGTTCCGTGGAACTATGATTTAGCGCAAGTGGATGCTTTTCTGGAGGAAAAGAAGCAGGAGTTGGTGCCGCTGTTGAAGGATGGCGAAGTTGTGGATGTTGTGACCAAGTCTGAAGTGGAAAGAATCAAGAGCTATCCAAAACTGGGCGTTGGCTCGGTTGGGGCTGATGGTTCTTGGATGGTAGGGGCTTCGATTGGAACCAGGGAACATGACAAGGAGAGGCTGGAGCATTTAGTGAAAGCAGGTGTAAACGTAGTGGTGTTAGATAGTTCACAGGGCAACTCAATTTATCAAATTGATATGATAAAGTATGTGAAGCAGACGTATCCAGAGTTGGACGTCATTGGCGGGAATGTGGTTACGATGGCGCAGGCCCAGAATTTGATTCAGGCTGGTGTCGACGGCTTGCGGATTGGGATGGGCTCTGGATCTATCTGTACCACGCAGGAGGTTTGTGCAGTTGGACGAGGACAGGTACGCGATTGTAAAAGCTTTTTTCAATCTCTAATCTAACACCCTTAATCTGAATCTTTATTGTATATATGCACCTAGCTGAGCGTTTAGAGTATGATACTGGGTATTTGGTTTGTTAACTCACAAAACCACGGTCAATCAAAGTTGATGCATTGCGAGAAAACTAGTAATTGCTTCCTTGTTCTGCTTCTGACTAAATAATACGGCCTATTTTTCCCAGGCGACTGCGGTTTACAAGGTCTCATTAGTTGCATCGCAAAGTGGCGTGCCTGTGATTGCTGACGGTGGAATTTCAAACTCTGGGCATTTTGTTAAGGCTCTAGTTCTTGGTGCATCGACGGTAATGATGGGAAGTTTTTTGGCTGGAAGCACGGAGGCTCCTGGAGCCTTTGTAACTAAGGTATTTCTTCTGGCAATTATCATTTTACAACTGCTCACAAGACAAGGTTTTCGCCCTTTTAGCTATAAGAACTGAGTAACATAAAGTTGCATCTTGTCATCCCAGAATGGTCAGCGTGTGAAGAAGTATCGAGGGATGGGCTCTTTAGAAGCAATGACCAAAGGCAGCGATGCCAGATACTTGGGGGATACTGCAACCCTTAAGATAGCACAGGGGGTTGTCGGAGCAGTTGCTGATAAGGGTTCGGTCTTGAAGTTCATACCCTACACAATGCAAGCAGTAAAGCAAGGGTTCCAAGATCTTGGTGCTTCCTCCATCAAATCTGCCCATGACCTCTTAGCCGCAAAGGTTTTAAGATTGGAGGTAAGGCCTTATACTTTTTCCTCCCTTGTTTAATGCTCTGCTGCTGCTGCTGCTGGTTATGAACATGACTTCGTTTAAAATATGTTTTATTTTTGCTGGTATTGCAGGTCCGCACAGGGGCTGCACAGGTCGAAGGTGGAATTCATGGACTGGTGTCTTATGAAAAGAAATCGTTTTGATCTTAATCAACCCATTACTCACAGGAATCCGATCGCTGCTTTCTAGCTCGACTTGAATTACCCAATGTATTCAAATAGATGTTGTGACTCATGCAATAATTTATTTAACAATAAATGGGCTCAAGTTTATTATGATAACCACCAATGTCCCTAGATGTTTGGCATCCTCGTAGCACAACTCTTTCTGTACATTACTTATGCATAGAAAACCAATTTAAGGCCACGAGCTCTGTTCAAATGGAGGAGATGATCGCTTGACACTTTTGCGCTCCCTTGTCCATGTTGTATACCCAGTAGTATGTTTAATAAGAAGAGAGTCGAGAATGACGGTAGAGGATAAAATATGTAAATGCGAGTTTTTGGAGGAATTTAGTTCAACGATAATTGACATCTATCTTTAACTAAGAGGTTATGAGTTTGAATCTCTAGTTAAATTTGATGTACTCAAAGAAAAAAAAATTATAAGGTGAAATTTTATGCCCTGATATAGAGTAACATGGCTCTCCCGACTTCTCCTCCTCTTATACATGACATCATCCAAATCACAACAATGGTCCCCGACCCCCACTCGAGTCTTTACATATTTACTGCAATCAACCAAATTTTACCATCTTGAGTCTTGACACAAATGCTCGTTGCTTACTGGCCAAAGCTTTGAGATGGTTACGCATTTGCAGATTAAATGAGCATCTTAGTATTTTTTCTTTCAAAGTATTTCTCTACTAAACAAATGTGGTAATTTTAAGATTATAGAGTTCAGTGGTGAAATATCTATATTTTACAGTGGTGCCATTGAGCAAGCGGAATCGATTCCCTGTCCTCGTGAAAAGGACATTGTACACTAGAGACATATTTAGAGAAACACATGGCCTATTTATTTACTCTCTGTTCTTAAAGTTTCAAAGGATTTACCCCTCCGCATGCTTACAATTTAACAATTCTATTGATTTGCATTTCATTTGTTCAAAAGTTCATCCAGAACCATGGGTTGTTCAAGTAAGGCTTTTGCAGAATTCATCAACTCATGTGAAGTAAACCCATCATCTTTCCTGTAAAACAGATGCACAACACAGCTCATCTTCCAAAACAAATCCTTGCAAGCCCTTGGCACTGTACTATTCTTCTCCTGTAAAACTAATCTCAGGAGTTCTCTTCTCGTCCTCTCAACATTCCCTTTAATTGCTTCAGAGGCCTCCTCTTTCGTGAAATCACCACCAGCATTAATCATGCACAGAGACATAGCATTTAGCTTGCCCTCACTGGACTCTCTCTGCAACAAAACCAGAAGTAATTTTAAAAGAAAGAAAAGAAAAAAAAAAACCCTTAGCATAAACACTATAAGATCATGCACTTGTTTTAGTACTTACCTCGAAACTTTGAGTATCATTGAGAAGACGACCGCAAGTGCTCATCAACTTAAATAGCTTATGGTATTCACAACTTCCAATCACTTCCTCTGGAAGCTTAGGCCCAACGAAGAAGAGTGCTGGAAGGACTATAGGTCCCAACGCAAATGATATATAGCCATTTTCCATGTACTCATCCATTGGTGGTGCTATCTTATTTTTCAACCATTCAGCTTCCTTTCTCATAGACTTGAGCAATGCCAACCACTACAAATCAAATCAAGCATAGTTTATATAATCTCAGGTTGAATACAGGGGTCAAAATAAAGAACCTACCAGCACATGCCAGGAATATAGTTCAAAAGTATGTTACGAACAGATTTCATGGTTTTACCTGTAACTAAGCTCATGTGCCCTCAATACCCAAATATTATTGGTGATGCTAGAAGATTATGTTTTCATAATTACTTAGAAAATAAATCTTAATTGAATATCTTACAATATCAATAACATTCCTCATCACACTGCGTCCTTGCCATGGTAAAGCTCTTTTTTCGATTTCACAAACAGTGCCGTGAAGTGCCAGAAATATAATCTCAACCTCCTTGGAACAGTAATCCGCTTCACCATTAACATCCCACCTGTGATTTAATTGTCGTGAAATTATGAGTTCAATGCTAAAGAATGCTACGAGGGGTGAAATTAATGTGATCCTGAACCAACTAACGAGAGATGTCAGAAGTAAAAGGAAAGAAGAAATACTTTTCCACCAATTGTATAAGGTTTATCAATTCCCCTTCAGATCCTCCAACATCAAAGAAATCATCAACCACGGTTGTGAGCACACCATTTTTGGCCCATGATAAGCGAGCATCACGAAGTTCAGGAGAGGTAAGGGTTGCTGCAGCAGAAAAATAGCAGTACGCTAGCTTCTGTCTGGCAAATTTCAACTTGTCCAATCTGTTTTCAACGACCCACCTGCACATACATTATGGAAATTCATTATCAAAGAGTGATTCTTTTGTTTCTCAAAAATGTAAAGACCCGAGTCCACTTAACAGTTGGCAATCATATTCAAAATATATCATTTAATTTAGAACGAGCGGAGAGAGCACAGTTTATGGTTGAATTTGATGCTCCAAGTACCAAATGAGTAAATAATTTCATACAATTTATAACATCAGCTTTTCAGATGAAATGAAGAAATAACATATTAGGTTTAAATCCAAGCCAAAGTTACGTAAACGTTGATATGTATAATATTTTTTCCCTAGTAAAAATTGTAAATTTTGATGGTTTATTACATCTTATATATAAATTTATACACTTTGATCTCTGTAGCACATGCTTGCATTGACAGGCATGGGTGCACTAAGTATTTCAGGCTCCATAGTTATTAATAGAAGAGAAATTGAAGCAACTGACATGAATTTATGGTTTCACTATCTTTCTTTATTATTTATGAGAAGTATTTTCAGTAATTTCAATTTTTGTAATATACAAGTTCATCAATGACCTAATCATTACTTCATAGACTATTGTGTTTGTAACATAATCCATGGACCAAATGATAATCATAGCTTGGATCAAGCAAAAACCTGCAATAGAGGTCAAAGATTAATCTTGACATGATCCCAATTATGCAGAAAATCATATTTTACCTTTCAAGCTCTTTCAGTTCTTTATGATGTATGGATTGCAGGATATTGAAATCTTCTACAGCAAGTTCCAGAAAATCTTGATGACCAAAGTTTAAGCAGCTGATATAATTAAATCCAGTATTAGAGCCGTTCAACTTACCCCATAGCTTCACCCCACCCCAAGCAAAAAACAAAAAGAAGAATGAAGAGAAAGCATACGTATATGTTGTTTTTGAAATCCTCACAATGTCTATGTTGTAATTTTCCATAGCTCTCTTATTTAGTAAGCGTTCCAGTGTGTTGCTATAGGTAAACTCAAGAGCATTAATTGCCTGAAGATGACCAAAGGCAAAGGGTTTATGGAAATCATGCTTTAAATTAAATGAAAAAAGAAGGAAAAGCAAACAACTATTACTTATTTGAGAGGTTACTACTAAAAATACCTCTTGTTTAAGAAGTCTATCAGGTCTATCAGAATGAACTGAACCACTTGATAAACCATGACTCAGGAAACTATTAGTCCAAGAGTTAATGTTTTCCAGAATAGATTCATCAGGATAAATGATAATCTGAGAGGCCTTAAATAACTCCAGTGAGCTACCGAAGTCCTTTAAATATCCTCCAAGGCAATTGGAAAAGAGGTCCTCTGAAAATTGCGTTAACTGATCTAAAGAACAAATTAAACCAGTTAGACCTTTACTTCAATCTAATATTTCAGCACCTAAATTCAACAATCACAAGGCACCTGAAGAAACATCATATCCTCCAAGACGTAACATCCGAAAGGCCATTGCACAAGTTGAAGCATCTAAGAATATATCTTCCTCTCCTTGCATCCAACATCTGTTCTTGCAAATCAATGCCATGATACCATAGATATTAAGAAAGAAATTCAACCATAGACTAAATGGACTTGAAGTTAAAATGTCATATTACCTGTAAGTTTCATCTAATACACTTCTAATCTCCTCTTTGAAATGCCGATCAATTCCCAGTCTTTGAAGGTTATCAACCATGCATAAACGAGCATATATATCAAGAGGATATATTGTGGGAACTGAAAACACGGTAGATGGAAAAGAATTACAGAGAAATAAATGAGACATAAAAAAAGGCAGAAAGGAGCAGAAAATGATGTCAGAGGAACCTGAATTATCAAATTTTTGTAAAAGTGAATGAAGATAATTAAAACAGCCATCATCATTTCCATGCATAAAAGCCACTGCCGTAGTGGATGGAGAATTAAACAGTGATCCGTTCTTTCTTTGATATTGCATGACCATTTCCCAGTCCCGTAACCTTCCAATTCCTTCTGAAACATACGCTAAATAGGCTTTTCCCCCTTCAGAGTTGCTTCTACAGCTTCAGCAGAGACAAGATGAAGGGAACAGTGAGTAGAAATTAAATCATTTCATGTAATATTATTGCTTGTATTTAAAGTGCAACTCAATGATTCTAAGAACTTAAGTAGAGCATAAGATCGTCAGAGAAAACTTGGATGCATTGATCAACCAAGAACAGGCTGATCCTGATTTTAAGAAATTATATGGAGAAAATCTAAAAAATCTCATACTTGAAGAATAAAGAACTTAAATACTGAATCAAAATGACCAATAAAAGCATTAGATAGCTGAGCCTAGCCACAGCTTAGTAGTTAGCTTGGTTCATCTTAAGAAGTACTTGCATTACACATACTTCAAGAGCAAATGATGTGTGTCTATTGTTGTCAAAGATATGACAGACATTAGAAAACATGGGAAGGTACATCTAGAAAAAATAAAGGAAAGAAGGAAAATAAAATATAACCTTCTAAGATCCAACTCTTTCTTTTGAAGCAAAGCATCTACATTTGCCGGTGCCAGGGGCAGATTCAAATCCAAATCTTTAGCATACTCAATCATGCCAGGGAAAATTATGTCAAATCCCACAGGAGAATATTGCTTCTCATCAGTGGCTGAAACTATATTAGACTTGATAAAATTGAGAGCTGCATAACAAGGATAATGTTTTTAGGTTATTACTGAATCCTACATGAAGGGAGAAGACTTCTAGCAAGTACTCTAAAAATACCCTTGCTCATATGTTCATGACCAATATTCCACCGCTTTAGAGTAAGAGCACATGCTAATGTAGATAAGAGAGATGCTTTCATCAGCAAGTGATGGTTATGGATAATGCCCCATGAGCCATCAGGGTGTTGATTATCCAATACCCAGTTTATGCACTCAGGGAAAAGAGGGTCGTTAAGGGAGTTCGGGGAAGGAACCATTGCCACCCATGCAGTATCATATGCAGAAACTGAAAGTTCAACCTTGTTGAACATTTTTTTGATTCTTTCTTTCGTTTCTTCAAAGCACTGAAACAGTAAGGAAAAATATATTCCATCGGTTTGAAAGATAACAAGCTAAAAGCAAAATTAGATAATAAACGAAATCATACCAAAGCTCCAGTTTTAGTTTTTGTTTCCACATCCAATCCTGGGAATGGAGAAGCTGGTTGAGAGGAATAATTTCCACGTATCAGAAGAGTATGGAGTGGAAAAAGAGCCACAAAAATTACGAAATGTAACTTGCAAATATTCCTTATTTTTAGAGACTAAGAACCCAAAATCAACATTTAAACAATTCTGTCATTTTTTTTACTAGGATTTTCCAGTTGGGTTGAAATTCTATCTCAAGCGACTAAAGAATTTCTCTTGTCTACACTTTTATGTTACTGCTTCGAGATGAAACAATTTGTAACTAAAAAGAATGTTTGTTTTCCTTTCTTTCGTTGAAACTAAGTCCCAAGATTTTGTCCTCCACATAAAACCAAGCTTATGAGGATAACAATAAGACAATTAAAGTTTACGCTTCTACTGCAATGAATTGTGTAAGAAAATTATTGAGGTCTTGGAAACTAAGGAGTAACAAACTTGCATGGCAGAAAGAGAAGGTGAGACAATTATAAAATAGAACCTGATGAGACGGAATTAGAACAGGTGAAGTTGGCGGGACGGAGTAGAGACATGTTCGTGGATGTAGCTGTACGAGAAGAAGCAAAACGTTGAGGAAACTCGTGCGAGCAATACTGGAGTCTGGTGCTGCCTGATAGAGGAGAATTCGTGAGAGGAAGAAAGAGATGATAGAATGGTAAAAACTAAAAAGCGAAGAAAACAAACACTCGGCCTCCATAGATGGTAGCCTCCATAGATGGTACTCTCCATAGATGGTAGTGAGAATTTAAGAGCAGCCAAGAAAAAAAGGAAGAATACAATCAATCCTGAGTCCATACTTGGAATTAGGAAACGGAAAGTATTATTAAATAGAACCTGAAGAAGTGGAAGCAAAACAGCCAGACATGCAAAGGAACTGCAGAAGTATAGCAGGGAATGGATCATGCGTGGTGAGAGTGAGACACTCTTATTTCTAGGGCTAGCCCAGCACTCGCAGTGTGATGAAATGGGCAACAGACAACCAAGCAGGAGACTGAAATTCATTTCTCCCTGAATTTTCTTTTGGAGTTTTTGGTATCAAATCGCAAATGTACAGCAGTTACAGCCGGACTCTGCACCCAAATTCATAATGCAAATCCAAAGGGAAAGAAATCAAATGAAAATAACTGATCGACACCCACCACAGCCACATATCCTATTATAAATTATTGGTGTGACAGAAAAAAAGAGTCTCAAAATTTAAACTTTCTATAAATTATGAGATTCCCGTGGTGCTTCACTTCCAAAATTCATATAGACTAGGGTATCTGTATTAACAGCGTTATAGGTAAGATCACGGGAATAAAATATTTTTCACACAGAGGATGTCTAGTATCCTATAACGCTGTTAATACAGATACTAGACATCCTCTGTGTGAAAAATATTTTATTCCCGTGATCTTACCTAGGACATCTCGAGATGATATCGTTAGCCAAAATTTTAAAAGGGAAGCCTTAATATGACTATTTTTTTTGTTGAAATTTATTTGATTAGATGCTTCATCTTAAAAAATGTCATTATCTCCTGCTTTTGTTTATCTTTTGATTTGTCTATACCTATCATTTTCTTTACTTTTACTTCACTAAAAAATTTATTGATAACATATTTTTTAGATTCAATCCATTTTTGTAGCACATTTTTTAGATTCAATAAGTTTTTATATTTTTAATTTTCTTAAACTTTTCATATCTATATTCATATTTTTTTATAGACACATTAATATTCTAGATACAAGTAAGCAAACCTAAACAAATCTCAAAAATCCACGTATCTAACAATATGAAATACATTTTTAAAAAATAAAAGAAATAGAACTAAAAAACATAGAATAATCAAAATTTGAAGCTTTGGTTTTTATTCTAACAATTGGGAGAGGTGGAATTAAGTTAAAATTAGTATAATCTACCGAATATATTTATGGTAGAGTTTTTAAAGAGAATTGAAAAAATTTTAATTGTGAAAAATAAATAAAAGGAGAAAGAATACAAACGGTCTAAAACTTGAGAGAATTTTGAGAGGTTATATTATTATTATTTTTTTTAATCAAATTTGAAAGGTTTTAAACATGAAGAGAAAGATAAAAATAACAAAATTTGAAAGGTATCAAATTAAAATCAAGAGTTCTTTTGTCTATGGTCTTAAATATTGAGAACCTCTTTTTTCTAGAATGGAGTGTATGTATCCGACAAATTTATTGTGAAGCCGATTCTTGTATAAATTTACTTGCTAGTCAAATAATGTTTCTTCTCTCTTCTCTTAGGTTTACATATTTGTGAAGAGTCTCCTAATAGTCTCTTTTGCCCTATAGATTGCATATGTAATGGGGTCTCCATACCCCGTCTTATCATTTTTTCTTAGTTTGGTGGATTTTAATCCTGTTTCCTTCGCAAAAAATTAAAAATTAAAATCTAGAGAAATTTATGTGAGTGATTTATTATGGATTTTCTATAAAGATCTATATTTAATTAAAGTTTTTTTTTTTCAAGAAAAGTGTATTTATTATTAATTTGTATAGAGCATGTAGGGTATATATTATTTTATATTTTAAACTATATTCCCAAGTAAAAACTAACAAATAGATAACAATATTATATTATATTATATGTACTAATATATGAAAAATGTGAGGGTTTTTAGGATTTGCGGTCTTAGGCGATCACCTCACTCGCCTATACCTTAAGCCGGCCGTAAATTCTCATGCATCTTGTTGTTATCTAAAGCTACTCTTTTGAAATTTTAAACCAAAAGGTCTCTAAAGTACTTTGGATATTCTATTGAAACATTTGGATACTCTATTGAAACATGTTTATAAGATTCTCATGTTAGAGTCACCCTAGATGAAAAGGTCTTGAGTTTAAATCTCTACCTCAAAGAAGGTATAAAAACTTATGGGGTTGTTCAAATAATACTTTTGCAGAATTCATCAATTGGAGGTAAACCAGTAGTCATTTGGGTAAAATGGGTGCACCACACAGCTCATTTTCCAGAACAAATCCTTGCAAGCTCTAAGAATTCTACTATCCTTCTCTTGGAAAAAATAATCTCGGAGACAGCAGCTCTCTCGTATTCAAAACTTCCCACTCTAAATAGGACGAGGAGAAAAAAGGAATCATGATTTCACTAATTTTCACTTTTTCCTAATTGTTACTACTTTTACTTTTAGTAAAATTTATCAATATTTATTATTTACTTCTGACCACTTATTTGTGCTAACAACCTGGTTCTTGGATCACGAAACACAAACTTTTAAAAGGGATTGAGACCGTATGAACAATGTCAATAGGAAAAATTCATGACTATGTCTCAGTCTTGTGACTTCTCGATTCCTTCTGAAACATATGCCAAATAGGCTTTTCTTCCTTTAGAGTTGCTTCTGCAGCCCCTAAAACAGGACAATATTAGAAGACAGACCAGATGGATAAATACATCATTGTCAATTGTCGTTGTCTCTTAAATCAAGAGGTTAAAGTTGCATAACATTCATATGCAATGAAAGGTTACATTTTAATAGTTTGAAGTTTAAGTAAAGCATGCAAAGCCCAACCAGTAAGAATGATCAAGTCCCAACAGGATCATCATATCAAATTATCGATCGCACATGTATTTCAAAGTCAAGTTACCTATTACACCCCACTTATTTTTCCTATGAATCAACATTAAGACAATTTTCACATATTTTTTACAAGGATTTTCCACTTGGGTCGAAATCCTATCGCAAACGACTAAATAATTACATTTTTATACAGTCCCTTGATCTTCCTCCTCTTATACCTAAAATTTGCAATAGGGAAGAAAACCCAACAAGCTAAGGATCAGACAGGTAGCAACAAAATGAACCACAAACAACAGATGAAGGTGCACATGAAAAGCAATGTCAAATAATCTCAACTGCGATTACTAATCATTTGTCAAAGCACAGGTAAACACAAGGAAATCCTAATTAAGAGAAAAAGTAACGTTTCAAAAGCATCAGATGACAGTACACCCAGTTCTCCAGTTTTCTTTGAATACTCTTCTTCTTTGGCAAGAAGAACATTCCTTTTGCTTAGCGGTTGCTCCAATTCTTTAGCCCTTGATATTGGAAGTTACAAGTTGAATATCAATTCCGGCCTCTAACCGCACATTGCTTTGTTTATAAAACTTGTTGTCAAGTACTCGCTTCCCGCACATGGCGCAAACCCCTGACAAGCGTGCACGAGGATTTAGCACATTATCGCATTGAGATATAGTAATAATCTGTATGCAGATATCAGAACAAACAAAAATTACCATTCGTAATTCATACCTTTGCTGTAAGCACATGTGTGAAATACTTGGCATCCTGGTGTACTCGCTGCATGCTTATAAATTATGAACTTAGTATTTCCATAAGGAGTCCATCTACAGGCAACAACATTCAGAATTCAGAACAATGACTAGACTTGCAAGGCTTTACTTATGATGCAGTCAAATTAGAACTTTGTTATTGGCAAACAAAACTTTGTAAAATACGGGACAGTTCAAAGAATTGATCAATGAAAGAACCAGAGGAGAGATGGATTGATCGTTTTGTATACTATTACTATCATATATATAAGTTACTCTCTTAGCTACCTCACTCAATTAGGAAGTATAACGTGTACTCATTACATAATATCCATTGATTTTTTTTTGTAATATCCATTGATTTTTTTTTGTAATACAACATGTTAGGGAGGAGATTCAAGTTCACAAGCTCTTGGTTGCCATTGCTCGCTTTGGCCATAATATCCACTGATACAATATAATCGCGAGAGTTCTTGATTATAGTCATGATTCGTTGTAAATTGGCAAGAACTAGTGATGCAAGAGGAGAGACAAAAGCTTACACTTCTCGCAGACCATCGTTAATCTCAACTGAAATTGAATGTAGCAATTAAAATAATCGGAGCCCTAATTGGAGATCTACGGGGGGTTTGGGTTTCTTTCTATTCGTCTTCGAGAAGAAACGCGCCAGAAGTACCCGGAGGAGAAGGGGATTCACGATTCCACTAACGTTTCTTCAGAATTGTTGGAGGATACTTACTTTTCAGTATAATTGCAAATTACACGAACCATTTATTATACGTCGTCAGTCGCGCCGCCGGAGTTTGCCTGCTCACTTCGTGGGTCGTTCATGCGGTGAGGGAGGCAGGTAGTTTATGAAAAATTAAATTAGGGCGAACAAAACTGATTTAATGTCGGTCTTCGATTGTCATTGAAATGATAATAGATTTTCGATTTTACGCGGGTTTTCTACTGTCGGTCATTGTTTCTACAATAATTTGTAGGGTCTGACACTCGATCAGTATTCCTAGGATCCATTTCAGAATTAATTGGTAATGATGGAAGCAGTTTTGTCAGATTTTCTAAGATCTATTGTCATTCAAAATGGTGACTACACTTTTTAAAAATAAAAATGGTTACTACTTACTATTTTGAGCTCACTATTTCATTTTTGTGTATCGAATATGATTTGTCAAGTGCCAAATTTATATCTCAATGTATACTTAAGAGTACAATATTCAACATTAATATTAATAATATACTTTAATCTTTAACTCTTTTTTAATGGGAAAATGAGGTATTTATATTTTTTTTAATAAGCCAAATAAATCCGCTATATATATATATATATATATATATATATATATATATATATTATATAGTGACAATTACAAATATGGCAAAAAAATTTAAGGAAATAACAAATTTAGCATCTATAACACTGATATAATCTGATATATACTTGATATACATCTGATTTACTACTAATATATAAGTGATATATCATTGATATAACTATGATATCTACTAATATAATTTCTTATATGATTATAGTATTTACTATTTATTGATTTACCACTAATATATGTGTAATATATTATTGATATGTTTTTTATATATCACTGATATAATAATGATATACAATTGATTTACGTCTGATATATCTATGATATCTACCAATATAACTTCTAATATGGTTTACCATTAACGTAGGTATGATATAACTACGATTTCTACTGATATAAGTTCTTATATGATTATATAATTTACCATTGATTTACCATGTTGATATAACACTTATATATATCTGTGATATATACTTGATATGTCTTTAATTTATCACTGATATAACTATGATATCTACTAATATAACTTATCATATGATTATGATTTACCACTAAATAACTTTGATGCATATGTGATATATATTTAATATGTCTCTAATTTACCATTGATATAATCATGCTATCTACTGATATCTATTGATATCTAACATTGATGTATCTGTGATCTACTGATGTCTATCATATATCAATTATAAATATATTTAGTATGCCACTAATATACATAAGATGTACATTATCAAAGATACATCAGATATATATCAGATAAGATATACATAGGTATATCATTACAGATATGTTTAGTATATCATAAATTAGAGTTACATCATATGTGCATCAGATGTATATTAGACGTATAATACGTACATCTGATGTACATCAGATGTAGATCGGAAGTATATCAGATGTATATCAGATATACATCCATCAGGCGTATATCAGATATAYATCCATCAGACGTATATCAAGTATACATCGGGTGCATATCAGATATCATAAGGGTAAAACTGGAATAATAAAAATTCAAATATTTTGCGATATTTACCTGAGGTTGACATTTTTTTAAATATGTATAAAAGTTTAGCGACCCATTACAATTTACCTATTATATAATTATTGTTTAGGTATTATTTTAGAAAGAATAGTATATAAATTTGTTAGATGGGTAAAAAGGTGCAGTTATATAAATTTGTGTGAATGGGTTGAGTTTTGAATTTCTCTAAATAGAAACTCTATATCTTGTTTTTTAGTACCACGTAGTAACATCCAAATGTGTAAATGTCGTGGCAGGAGCACGATCGGTCAAATCGTAGTCCGAAAGGGCGGGATAAGACAAGGCGGTTAGGTTGAAGGCAAGGAAGTCCTGTCTGGCAACTGCTGGTTGGGATGTACGTGTCTTTAGTCTTTTATTTTGATGTTCCTGCTCGTGCCCGGAGAGAGAATGGATACGACTCCCCCTCTCCCCGTTCTACCGTCCAAAGCATGACAGACGGTAAGGTAGGAGAATTTGAATTTATGTTAATTACTACCGAACTAAGCTTATTAAGCTCGTGTTGACAAAATGCTATATTGTTACCCATAAATATAGAGTGAAGTTTTACAAAATAATTACTATATTGAGTGCGGATGGTGAGGAAGAAGTATAGCTTCGATATAAAAAGGCAAAACGAGTGTGTAATAATAAAGAAAAGTATTCAATTCAAATTGTTCATAAAGATGGGTCCCTCTCCCTTACCCTCTATGTCACCTTTAAAGGAATATATGCATCCAAAAGAATAATAGAATAATTCTATAAAGATATCGACGCTTGAAATTCAAGCAAACATCTTCTTCACGCTGCCCTGCCCTGCCTCTTTTAATTTAATTTCAATATAATTCCCACCCAACTTCATTTATAATCCTAAATTATATATGTTTCAAAAACTCCCTCAACCTTTAATTTGCTTTAATTTTATGTATACTATATATACCAAACTTCAAGGCAAGCATATGGCATGCCATATTGTACACGGCCCATATGGTTTTTAATTCATATTATTATAACTATAAAAGAATCTCCAAATTCCACCTCTGTGAAAAATGCATGTTGTTGCAATATTTAAAGATATCCAAAGTCATTTCATGTGGCATAAATATTAACCAAATTAAATGGGGCGGTGTCCATCCAACTAATTTTATGTATATAGAGGAAAATAAAATTACGTGTTGGGTCAGTAAAATTTAAAATAAAAAAAAAATCACCACACCCTGATTTATATTGTTGTATTGCGCAAAAATGTATGTAATATATGAGATAATTCGTGGATGATTTTTAATTGGGTCGTGGAAAGAATCTTTGGTTGATTGTCAAAGAAGAAAAGCATTTATTCCCATTTGGATTTAGCCACGAGTCATGGATTGTTATGAACTTTCTTTATTTTTATTTTTATTGAGTTTAAAATGAATTGATATTCCAGAGAAAAACGGCATCCGATAATAGGTTAGCTTGTTTTTTAGTGGGAAGAAATGGAAGCTGGTTCAAAATTCAAATGGGGTATAGTGTGTGACATTTAATTTGATATAGTCAATTATCAGTTGAAGGGCGTGCAATTGCATGGAGGCAACTTTAATTTAGTCCATTTGTTTGTTTGTACTGTTGGTGTAGAGATGGAAGGAAAAGAGATCAGATGAAAGCAGAAGAACAGTTGAAGACAAGCTTGAAGTGGACAAAAGAGATAAGGGTAAATTTTGAGTCTAAAACTAAAAACTTTAGAAGATGGAAGGTCCCTCCACTTGTGTCATAAAAAGCTTCACAAACATTCTCCCCTTTTGTATATTACACTGATTTCCACATACATCCATCATCATCACCTTAGACCTACCTTTTTCCTCTAATATAATCACTTGCTTTAATTATTTAATCATCATGATATCAAAGAATGTAAAAATATATGTTCAAATTTATATAATTAAATTATTGAAAATTATTTAACACACACACAATACAACAACACAGTAGTACAAGAGATATGATGAGATGATCATGAGAAGGAGAATATATAATTATTAATATTATGATGAGAAACTTTTTGTTTGGTATTTTGATGCATATATTGACATAATGATGTGTTTGTATGATAAGTGGGGAGTGGGATAGATAGATGTTATTTGGTCGGAACGTAATAATTAAGCTAAAAGTTAGAGGTACTAGGAAATGTTAATATCAAAGCTAGCAGCCCGTGGAACTAGATTAGTGAGTCCAGTCGGAGGGTGGAGGATGTTAACAATTAATTAGCAGAGTGATCATAGAGATTTGTGCACGATGTTTTATAATTTATTTATTAGTATGTAGGCATAATTAATTAATAACACGGCACAGGGGGGGTATCTTTTTAGAAAGGAGGGTGAGGGTGAGGGTGGTGCGTACTGCGTTTAATAGTAATAGAATAGACAACATTCTTTACTTATAACAAGATATATATGTTGTGGGTTGAGACTTGAGAGAGAGGTTAGGTTAGTTAGGTGGTGCGGTCTTGAGTTGAGAAACAGAAGGCTCACCGCCAAAGCCTGGGTTGGCTTTTGGTTTTAATTAAATTGGCCCTGCTGGGATTTGTTCTTGAATCTATCCGTATTCCTTCCCCAGAGAGAGAGAATGTTCCATCCTAAGAAAGCTTCGAGTATGAATTCTCACGAGAGATCAGGTGCTGCAGGGATGTGCGTCCAAGGCGACTCCGGGCTGGTTCTCACCACCGACCCCAAACCCCGCCTCCGCTGGACTGTTGAGCTTCATGAACGCTTTGTCGATGCTGTCACTCAGCTGGGAGGCCCTGATAGTTAGTGCCTACCTACTTCTTCTTCTATTATCAAATTACAATTATTTCATTCATTAATACACTTACTTACCATATCATCATATTATATATCTAACTTGCTCGTTTCTCAATTAATTTTAATTTTCAGAGGCCACGCCTAAGACTATCATGAGAGTTATGGGTGTAAAGGGTCTTACTCTTTACCACCTCAAGAGCCATCTCCAGGTTCGCTTGTCTTGTCTTTGAGTTTGGGCCTTATGATTAAATTAATTAGTAAAACCTGACCAATATAATATGCCACACCTTAGCTTTAATTATTTTCCTTTTAACCTAATTTAGAAATTTAGACTGGGAAAGCAGCCTCACAAGGAATTCAATGATCATTCGGTTAAGGATGGTATGAGAGGTGACTCTTTTTTATTTTCTATATATTTCCTTACCTTAATTTGTTTCTAATTGCCTTGCCCCAAATTAACTTTAACTTACTTCCCTGATCAGGTTTAGAACTTCACCGAAACACGGCTTCTTCCTCCAACATCATCAACCGAAGCATGAACGAGTACGCGCGCTTCTAATTCATTCCTTATATTTTTTTTTTATATGTTGGCGGGGTTCGATTCTTGTTTTTTTGTGTTGTGTAATGGTATTTCCAGTGGTAACTCACACATGGTTGATGCGATTAGGATGCAAATGGAAGTGCAGAGAAGATTGCATGAGCAATTAGAGGTAGGGTTAATTATATTATAATGAACTTAGTATTATATTATATTATTGGTGAGGTGGAGGTGGAGGTGGAGGTGGAGGTGGTGGTGGTGGTGTAGAAATAACTAAAGATGAAGAATATAATGTGTGCAATAATTCAGGTACAAAGACACCTGCAGTTGCGGATCGAGGCTCAAGGGAAGTATATGCAGAGCATATTAGAAAAGGCCTGTCAAACCCTGGCGGGTGAGAATTCGGGGGCTGCCACCTACAAGCCAATGCCAATGTCAATGCCCATCCCAAATAACAATAACGATTTTGGTTCCCCTCTGGGATTTCCAGGTTGTTTTCAAGATCTGAACCTTTACGGAGGGGAGCAGGTGGAGCTGGATGGACTCATGCCTCATCACAGCAACAACGACAGCTTACTGTGCTTGGGAAAGAATAAGAAGCCCAGCAGGGCGCCAAACTGGTCGGAGGATTTCCGGCTCCAGGACATAGGAATGGCGCCGCCCTCGTCCCCGTGCCAACAAGATCATCATCAAGATTTCAAAATTGGTGCAGCGCTGGTTGTGGAAAGATCAGATGAGTTGGAGGAAATGGAAATGTACGGGGCCGAGGCCAATGCCAATGCCAAGGCCGCATGCGCCGCAGTAGCAGATGACAAGAAATATGATCATATGAATGCAAAGCTTCAGAGGCCGTCCCCCAGAAGGGCCCCACTTTCCACGGATAGGACCAACAACTACCCTCTAATTACCACCGCTCCACCATTTGGCTGATCCGATCCGATCCACCTAATTTTAATTTATTTCCATTTACACCCCTACTCGTCAGTTTTAAGTGCATGCTTTTACTTTGAGTGACTTGATGATTTTAATTCAGCATTTGGCGTTTCACCATCAACAACCAAGGGGTTGACTTCACTTCACTCCACCACTTAAAAGGGAAAGCCTTCCATGCCCATGCATATATATGGCATGCAAAACCCTTTCTTTTGATTTTGACCAACACTACTATCATATTTCTTTTCCTTTTCCTATCCTTATCCTTAGTATACTGTAAGTTTTTTATACATGTCAATTGTGCTGGTTACTGACATTAATTATTGTACCATGTATGGCCTCTTACCTTAACCTTTATAAATTTCTTATTTTGGTATTTCGTTAAAATGTGTCAATATGAGTTCAAATTGAGTCGACTCTCGTTAATTGAATTACATTATTTATTAAGTTGTGAACTTGTCTTTTTGTCATTGATATATGGAGTTATATGATGTTGAATAACCTTAGGGTGGTGGTCTAAGTGCTTTTTTTCTTTTTTCGTCAAAGTTAGTTAGTTAGTGGGATGATTGGAGACAATATTATCGGGAAGATCAAACGGTCAATAAAATTAGCATGTCCATGTCACGGATTTCCAAAACAAAAGTAGATCCGACCAGGACATGGACATCTTCTCTTCTGGTTGTGGTACCAAAATCAAAGGCGTAGGATATATTATTATGCATTCATACCATCCACTCAATATTTCTCTCTCTATCTCTGTCTCTCTCCAACCAACGGGACTTACTACACTTTTCAAACCCCAAAAAGGTTCTGAATTACACCCTTACCAGCTAAATCAGTACAGTACACACAAGCATATGTGTATATATATAGGAGCATGTGTACTGCATGTGCATGTGTTTTCTAAGAGATGTACCCATATATATATATATATAGCATATAATAATAATAATATTGCATGGATTTAGTATATTATGAAATGGATTTGAATATATAGAATTAGAGAAAGTGAATGGAAGAGCAGTGAAGAGAGATGTATGTGGAGATTAGATCCATCAGAGAGAGGTTGTGTTACGTTGTGGGGAAAAAAATAAAGATGGTACGCGCTGCCAGTGCCAGTGCCAGTGCCACATTACTTTATTGGTCGCAGAGAAAAAATGAAGCCAGTTGGCAAGAAAGCTCCTTGTCTAGTAAAAAACACTCGGAGACCCAAAAATTAAAAGCCAATATAAAGCCCAAAGCCAAGGAAGAATATATATTTACAACGCACTTCCATGCGTCCGCATATCGAGGAAGCTTCTTCTATCGGTATCTCTTTTTCCCATTTTATTAATTAATATTGTAAATAGCCCCAAAGCAAACCGCGGTACCTCTACCTCAGGAAGGCATGTGATGATGCCTTAATTGTCTACACTTTTCCAACAATATATTTTGATTTAAAGCCCATCACAGAATCCTTTTTTAATATAACAAATGGGATGGGGGAGAGGACGCGATTCGACCTCATTACCCTTGTAATCAAATACATGTGTCATTTACTCATGAACTAAGTTTATTACCTTTATAATCAAATACGTGTGTGATTTACTCCTGAACTAAGTTAATAAGTTAATAAGTTAATGTTAAGAGTACGTTACCTCTCTTGCCCCATTGCTTGCTTTGATTCATTATTATATTCTTAACTAATTCATTCATTCTCCCTTCCATCTGTAAAGGGTCACCCTCACCTACCTTCCCCAATCTCCTCCCTACTACATATTGTAGCACAAGCTTCTTTGGACCTATCTGCCTACCACATTTTGTTCAAACTTTAATTTCTAATGACTTCAAACAAAATAAAAAAGAAAAAGAGAAAAAGCGACTGATTATTACATTACATCCCCAACACAGAAAATTAGAATTATAAACAAATATTCATAGTTTTGCACCAAAATATATATATAATTTCGATTTTGTTTTACGATACCTACCCTTATTTAACCCTCGTCTCGCCAGTCTCCCATACAAAACATCAATCTCACCAATAATCAGGGAGTTGAGTTGTTATCTTATATTTTCAATCAGTTCCTAATTACTTCTTTATATTCGGTACTAGGGTACAATTATAATTTTGTAACTCAAGTTTTGGTTAAATTTGAAAGTTCAATATATACTTTTTTAATCCTTTTTCAAGGTTAAAAAATCCACAAATTTACGCCCCCTATCATGTTTCAAAAAAGAAGGGGAAAAAAAGTTCACCTGAACGATTTTTAAAGTTAGCATATGACATTCGTCTATTAAAATTTAATATTTGTCGTATATTTCTGATGTGGCAAAAATATATTTGATTAAATTCAATTTTTAATGTAATAGATTTTAGTACACCATGACTTAATCAACTTAAACTTATTTTGTGATTGATCTAACATGGTATATACCAAAGTAGAACTACATTCTATATGTTTGAATCCCCTTAATTAATATCATATCATTGTTCACTGATTGATTAGCAGTGTATGAAGAACCTCACATTATTGCCTATTGTTGGGTAGACAAGTAGGAGTAGGACTACTATATTGAAAATCTCATCACCAAAAATGGACATTGCAAAAGTCGAAGATGAAGAATCACACATTAATATGGATATAATCAAGTTTTGATGACAAATCATAATTACAACAACGATGGAAATATATAGAATTTACACTTTTGTCGATGGTACCCATCATACAAATTACTAGTATATCCTTTTGTAATATCTTAATTGTAATTTCCAAAATAAATAAATAAATACCAAAACTACATAAAAAAATACCAAATCCATTTTCGAAAATTTTGAAACACATTCCTCCTACTCTTCTGCTACGTCTAGTTTTCGTCTCCAGCCGACCGTCTCTACTTCCTCTCGTTTCCATCTCCGGCCGACCGTCTCTATTTTCCGTCTTCGGCCGACCGTCTCTGAATTTCTTCACCTCCGCCGCCGTTTGGGTGCCTCCTTCTTATCCCGCCTCCGTTATTCTTATTTAAAAACTCGTTGTTTTCGTCCGCTCATTCGTCTCCAGTCACCATTCCTTCGTCTCCAGTCCCCCTCCATTGCCGGAGCAATTCGTCTCCATCTATCCAGATCGAAAGGTTTGCATTCAAACATATCCTAATAGTTTTATCTTTCAGATTTCTACAATGTTGAAAATCATGTTGTTTTCAACTAGTCTCCAACGGTTGTTTTCGATTTCTGATTTCGTGTCAACTATTGTATATATGAAATTTAGTTTATATATGGATATATCCGAGAGTTGTAGTTGGAGAGTGAGTTGTTAACAGTGATTTTAGGAAATTTATATGGAATTTAGTTTATATCCGGATATATCCGAGGGTTGTAGTTGGAGAATGAGTTGCTAACAGTGATTTTAGGAAGTTTATATGGAATTTAGCTAAGAATGATTTTAGGAAGTTTATATAAAATTTAGTTTATATCCGGATATATCCGAGAGTTGTAGTTGGAGGGTGAGTCAGCCAAGCAATAGTAGAAATGAGGATACGAAGTTCACCTGTGACAAGATGTTGGGCCATTACGAGAAGGGAGAGAATGATTTGAATATTTTTGTAATTAATAATATTGGTAAATCAAGAAAATCAATTTTTGAATGGATGAATCAAGAGATTTGAGTTGAAAATTTGTATGGGGCCACAATAATTAAAGAATTATGATAATAATTTATGAAATTAAATCTTTTATATTTCTAAAAAAATAAATAACTATAATAAATAAAAATGCAATAAATAAGAGTAAAATCGAAATTAAAATAAAATTCTACCGATAGAAATCTAAAATTTAAAAATGTAAAATTAAAATTTTAGAAATTTGTATAAATAAATTTTTAAAATAATCCTCGAAGCCATTATCTCTGAATATAAAAAGAAGGATGGTGTGGACAACTGATGAAAACTAAGGTAATTAAGTCGAGTCTGAAGAAAGGGCTAACTGGGGCCATGTGTAATGAAGCCCGCAGTTAGTGGGCCTGAATCTTTGCCGTTAGGTCGGCAGTGGGCCCCTGGCCCATCCATAAGGCGAACCGTAACCGGACTTGGGTCCTACATATTGATAGTGTTTAAAATCCAGTTTTGCGAAGGTAAAAGACAAAAGAACGTTTCATGATCATTCATTAGTTAAAAGATTCCAAGGAAAAGGAAAATAATACTCATTTGCGCTGGTTTAATGAGAGTACTAGGGAAAGGGATGAAGAAAGTTATGTTGAGATGTATACAGATGAGATGAGTAGTGTCCAGTGATATGATTGATTAGCGAAGCTTAGGGAGACGTTATGCGTAATAGAATACAAATACAGGAGGGTGAGGGTGGAGTCATGGAGAATGAAGGGTATCAAAAATATCGGCTGGAGGAATAAAGTAGTCGATGCTAAGGCCTGCGACGTTGAACATGACATCGTCAATGTTCCAAAGCTCTTCCATTCGGGTCCTGCTAAATTGGGTGGACATTTCCCCAAACTTGAAGACGGTGGCGATGGACCTGCCGTGGTGAGCGATGAGGACGCCGTCGACGTCCCTGTAGTCTCCGATGCAGCTTCCGATGGTGGTTTCCCAGTAGACGGCGTCTCCTTCGGTCTGCACTCTGGTGAGGTGTGAGTCCTCCAAGTACACCAGCACTCCGCTCTTCTGGCAGAAGTACCCATACAGCACGTGCCTGATCACTTCCGCAGGCCCCTCGTTTCTTTCCATCACTGCCTCTCGCTCCGCCGACACTTTCAGCACAAAGCAATCCTCCTCCCCGATCCGCTTCTCCCCAAGGCATTGGGCTTTCGCGAACAGCCGAGCCGTGCTCTTTGGGTCTAGCCCCTGCCATGTTTCCTATTTCTTTATTCTACAAATTTAATTTAATGCATCGAGATTGCTGCATGCTCTTTCATTTGGTACTGCTACCCAATACTAATACTAATAACATATTATATTATATATTTGGGAACAAATCTACCCCATGCGATTTTATGTATCTCATTTTCGTAAACCAAAAAAAGCTTGTCTTTTTATATTCCGGGAAAAGAAAAAGGGAAACTAAAGCACAAGAAAGAAACAAAACTACAACTGTGAACTGCGAACTGCGAACTGTCAAAGGCAAAGGCAAAGCAGAGCCAAAAAAGAAAAAGAAGAAAGGCAGGCCATTGGGCACCATTGGATCCCTAAAGAGGAATGGAGAAAGAGAGAGATGCGGAAGCAAATCCCAAGATGGATGAGTAGGTGACATCATCAAGATAATCAATCACGTGCCAGCCATCCATCCCCAAAAATCCGACTCTTTCACTGTTGAAAAAGCACAAGCGTGTACGATAAAGCAGGGGACAGTTTCTCCATCATTGTCAGCTATTTCTTGGGATTGTTTATTTGTTCCACAGTCTCTCTCTGTCCTTTATTTGGTAAAGCATTTTTTTGAATATCTAAGCCATACCCGTACCCAACCCAACCTACATTCTGCTTTACCATCTGATCACATGACCAAATAACCCCACCAATTATTTTTATTCTTCTCATTCTTATGGTTGAATATGGTCAAACTAATACCCCAAAAAAGAAAAAGATGGGTACAACGCGTTTCGTTTCGTAGCTAACTGAAACTCGAGTTTGCATCTCGCATCACTTGGTTTGGTAATTGGTAGAGATGATTAATAATTAATTATGTAAAAATAAAATGGATAAGATAAGACGTTAAATTTTAGCAAGTGATGATTTTAGTGAGACCGATGGAGGGTGGTGCGTGCAACTGCAGATGCAATAAAAAATGGACAAAATAAATGAAATTAGTAAGGTACCTGAATGATGCGACGCAGAGGTCGTTGGGGACCTTTGGCGGCATGGGTGCCGAGCCATGGAGTGTGGCGCCACACGGTCTTGCCGTCGCTGCCGGCAACCACCTTACTGCCTCCGACCACCAATTCGAGAGACCACATGCCCGGCAGCATTTGCCACAGAACAAAGCAGCCGTTGTCCCCGCTTCTTGTCCCTATGCTCTTCACAGTTTTCCCAGAAGAGACCTCTGTTTCACACCGAATCATCTTCACGCTTCCGGAGACGTACATGTTCTTGGCAGACTTTTGTTGTTTCAGACATCCGGTAGCGGCCAGATACTGTTGTATGATGTAATGCGCGACAGAAGTTTCCTGAAAATTAAAGGAATAAATGATCGAATTCGATGATATAGTTAATTAATTGTAGGAACAGAGTAGAAGGCTGAGAGTGACTTACAAGAGGCGTATCGCGTGGGAAGTGGCAGTGGGAGTGGTGGTCGAGGGGAGTGGGAGAGGCAGAGAGGGGAATGGGAGCGAGGGGGCATGCGAGGACGCCGAGCAAAAGCTTCAAATCTTGGGTCTTGGAATTGGGAATGTCGAAGGAGGGGAGGTTGCGGTGGATCTTGAACCAGTCGCGGAGGAATTCCCAGTTGGACGCCGAGGCCGAGGAGTCTTTCTTGTTGTTGGGTTGTTCTTGGTCTTGCATTTGGGGATCCGGACTTTCCAACAACGGAGTCAGTGGGTGAGAGTACCAAATTGCCTTTCTGCGGGACTTGCTGGAACTGGAAGATCCCCCACCCCCAATCACAACCGCCGTCGCCATGCCCTTAACCAGATCCAATTCAAAACCTAATTCATTTCACAGGGACAAACTCACAAACACCTTTGGTGAACACTGGAGAATATGATAAAAGAGAGTTAGTTTAGGCCTTTAGGGTGGGACGCTACCGGACAAACTAAGCAAGACTCACAGTATAACCCAACCCAACCCAACGCTATATTATATATATAAATAAAGCAAACTCATCGGCAAATAAAGGCGGTACAGTAAGTTCCAATTCGGCGACACTGTATTTTAATTTTTAAAAGTTCCCGGCCCCTGCCACTAGCCCCACACCGACCAAACCAACATTTTCGATTTTGAATACGAACGGATCGGCTCGGTTTTCACGGTTCTTTGGCTCAACGTAAAGAGAGATATATACAGTCATAGTATCTGAACTAAGACTACCTGACAGAGAGATCTAATATAACAGCGGCATGGCATCAACAGCAACTTGAGAGCAAGAAAAAAGAGAGGAATTGGCGGCGGTGCGAAAGAGGGGGCTGAGAGGTTTTGGTTTGGGTGACCTGGATCAGCAAGGGGGCTGAGAGGTGGGAGTGAAAATGTAAACAAAACAAAATAGGGTTGGTCTCAGTTCAGAGGTCGGCCCAAGTTTGAGTTTTAGACGTATATTGGGCTGGGCGTACCAATTTTTATTTGGGTTCGGTTTGTTTTTCTGTTATTTAAATTCGAATCCAATGAAATAAATATTTTTCACTTTCTCAACCGAGGAATTCGATGTTCCTTTAAATAACCGAATCAAACCGATCCGGGTTTGTTGGTTTTTCTTTTATCAATCGTTTGCCATGCCACTGCCAGTTACCACGCTCCGTCTGGCCTCTCCTCTTGCATATACTAGAAACTCATATCTATCAAGTATGAATACAATAAATTATAGGCTGTTAAAAATAAATTATAATAGCTCTTCTAACTATATGGTCATAAATATTATTTTTATAGGCAACCTTAATATATCTTAATTCATCACGTCATGTATCGAAGGTTTGAATTCTTCCTACACGTTCTTGAACTAAAAAAGAAAAAAAGAAGTATTATTTCTATCTTATTACACATTTTTATTGTCTTAATAGGTTATATTATTCTTTTAACATTTTTCAGTATTGTGAACTAAAATAATTTATAAGAATAAAAGAAAAAGCACATTTTCGGTTCTTCAACTTTAGAGTAAGTGTTTATTTGGTCCATAAAATTTCAAAACTGATACTTTTTGTCCCTCAAACAATGCTTCTAATGGTTCCCTAAGTTACTTTCAATTAACTAATGTTAAAGAGACGTGTCGGTTAAATTGATGACCGTATCTTAATGATTTGGCAAAATATATTAATTTAATTTTTTTTATGACTAGTTGCATCAATCATGGAAATTAAGTAAAAATGTAGAAAGCCAATATAGTTCAAGTACCCTACACTACAATGAGTAACTCGTGTCATAGTTTTAAGAAAAGTTCGAATGACCTTTAAAAAAATTTGTATTTGTTAATACGAAGTTTTTGCATTTTTATGAGAATCTCAATGGCACCCACGATTCCCAATATTGAGTCGTTGGCACATCTCTTTCTTCTTTTTAAGTAATGAGTTTTTTTAAAACGACTTGCTTGCAAGTGTGGAGTCTAGTAAGCTAACAAAATTGTCACACGCTCAAAATTATGTTGCTATATATTTGCAAATATGAAAAATGAGAGAATTGTCCATCTTTTAAAGTTTTCAGCTAATGTGCAGTTATTAATAGTTAAAATATAGAATATCGAGTGTGGGTGAGGCAGGGTTGGGACTTTGGCAATCTCTCTGTTTAAGAGGATTTTGTTATTCAACATGTGCATTTAGTAATTGTTTATAACTTCCAAAAGCTGTCTTCACAAATCTTAGTCAAATTTTAGCCTTTTCTAGAAAAAGAATGCTTGATCAATATTTTAGAATATATATACACTACCAAACAAAAAGAAAAGTTACTAATATCACATTTTAAAGCATAAAAAAAACTAAAAACAAAAGTGACCACCAGGCCTTCAGAATTAAATCATATGAACCTATGTTCGGCAAAGCACATGAACACCCAGTGTCGGAGTACATCATCCTCCTCATCCTGAAACGGAGTCCTAATTAATTAAAATGTTACAACTGGTCTGCCACAAAATCAAAAATATTTTAGTTACTCTGCATATAAGATTGTTCATTGGATATCACATTTCTGCAACTCTTGATAATGTAAAAGTTGAAGAATATCATCTTTCCCCAACTCTTGATAATGTAAGGTCCAAGCTTAATTTTATTACAGCATTAACACCAAAATCACTCAAAGGCAAAGCATAGCAACAGGGTATACATACATATGGAAAATATCACACGAATAGAACGGGCATATGTGTGGTTTGTAGAAGGCATTCCCGATGAGGGAGCACACAAAGCAGAAGATAATTTAAGCTGAAAAAAGGAATCAACAAACGAAAGAAGCACGGGCATTATGATCACTACAGTAGAGACCAGGCCGCTGAGTGAAACCTTGGCTCTTGAGCTTCTCCCTAACAGTCAAAACAAGTTGGTGGTTGGTAATTGAACCATCAGATTCGGCAAGTATGGTCTGAATTGCATTGCTGAGGGCTCCATAAGAGGCATCAGCATTTCCTGATGGAGTGGCATCGGCCGATGTTTGGTCAGTTTGGCAGCCACTAATCAGGATCCCACCATCTGGAAGTGCCCGCTTGGATGATCCAGCATATGCTTCAGTTTTGCTGCCCACTTGAGTATCCAGGGCAGGCTTCACGTAGTCTTCATCTTTCTCTTGCAGCTTTTGTTTGAGAAATTCTTGAGCAAGACCACCAATCATTCCCAAGAACCCTCCTCCAGATTGCCCACTCTGGTCGCCCTGGAGCTTGTCCATGATCACCTTCATAAACTTCTTCACCTTGGGGCTCGCGTCTTCTCCAAACACATCGAAAAGGGTCGGCCTCAATTGGCCCACATCAATGTCCTCTTTCCCAGTTTTCTGCTTCAGAATATCTATAAGAGTAGAGAGCGGTAAGGATCTACTTTTAACACTCACTCGCTCCCCGTAGGAAAGCTCCACCTCTCTCTCTTCCTCTTGCACATCATCCTCGTGGCCGTGACGGTGTTGGAACGCTGAGGGAACGTGGATCCCACGAGATTCTAAAGCACCTTCGACGCTTTGATGAATAAAGCTCCTAAAACCAAAACGGGAGGAGCTATTTCCTTCTTCCCGCCGCTTGGAGTTGGTGCTCTCTCCTATTTGCTCCTCGGCATCGTCAATAAGACCGCCGCTATGGCAAGAATCTGATACAATCGTGAAGCGGCATCCCTCGGGAACCTGATCTACCAACTCCCTGAAATCGTCATCTGCTTGGACGAGATGAAAACGGAATGGAATTGGGTAAATAATAAGAGATTCGTAGAGGATCTAGAAATTCAGGAGAGATCGAAACTATAATTACGAAATTAAGGGCAGTTAATTGATTGGGAGCGTACCTGTGATGAGGTTCATATCGGAGGGAACAATGCACTCGTCGTAGCCGGTGTCGTCGTCGTCCCCGGTCTCTGCAGGAAGGCGGGTGCCGTGGCCACTGTAGTGGACGAAGAGAAAGTCGCCTGGTTCGGAGGATCTGACGAGACGGGCAAGGGCGGAGCGTATATTCTTGCCGGTGGGTTGGGGGAAGGAGTCGTCAGTATCAATCAGGATGCTGATGTCGTCCTCGGAGAAGCCGTAACGCTGGATCAGACACTGATGCATCCGTTTAACGTCGTTGATGCATCCTTTCAGCTCTGCCTTCGTTCCAGGGTAGTTGCATCCGATTAGCACGGCTTTCTTAGCCATCCTTTTTTCCTTTTTCTTCTTTAACAATTCGATTCCCTCCCAATACTCTCTTCCTCGATCTCCGATCTCCCACTTTTTGCCTTGCTGTTTCAGCGGTTGTGGTGCTAACTCTCCTGTCGATCTCCACTGCTTGGTGATATGCATACATATACTTTTATTTTCTCACAATGGACGCATTGTTGACTTGGCTACTTGGCCCCACGCACGTCGTGTCCACATAACCAGGCTCCTGATCCTTCGCCCTTCAAACTTCAAACACTGATTTTTTTTTTTTTTAAGATGAGTCGTCACCTTTACAACGGTAGTCTGCATGGAAGATAGATTTGCTACTATTAAATGTTTGATAATTAAGAGAGAAAAATGTAAAAAATTTAATATTTTTAAAAATAATGAGCTTTCAAATTATTCCGTGTTGGTTTGCCTATTAGGAATTTATGTAAGTTTCTTTTGAAAATAAATAAAAATAAATCACACACATTAGTAATTCGTGAAAGAAATCAAGGGTGAGATGAAACGTGAACAATGTCGTGTAGATGATGAAATAGAACATAGATTTGAAACATGAAAAGCTGGGCGGGAGAGTGAATAGTGGATATTAAGGGACGAGAACGAGAACAAAGAACTTTGACATTTATAGTATTGCGAAACAAATTGATAAACATATATATACAAAATATCATTTCTATAAACATAATATCAATATTACTCAATTTTAACATTTTAAATTTTATAATTTTTTTTGTAATTTTATCTATGTGGTTTATCAATAGAATGTAAAGTTAGATTTTTCTATTTAAAACCTTTGAATGAGAAAGGAGCCCACCTCCAATCGGTTAAAGTACATGTTTTCGTCTAATAAGTAAGTTCAAATTCATACCCTCATATATTAAAAAAAAAAAAATTGAAAGATGAAAGTGACCAACAGATCCCGACCAATAGAGGAAAAGAGAAAAAGGTAGAAGCAATTACAAGAAGCAAGACAATAAATATTTAAGAAACTTTTACATTACATATTTAAACGTTGGCGCCGGTCAGTGCACGAGAAGAAACAAAGAATTTCGAGCCCGGATTTCTTTATAATGATGTTACTTCAACAAGTTAATAGGATAATAGTGTATAAATAGTATGGAAAAAGTTGTGTATTTTGGAACGTGGCATGAACAACAAACCATCAAAACCTCATCAGAAAACACCAAATAACAATGGATTTTCACGACCATTACTCGTATAGTTAAATTCTTTTGACCACAAATAATCCATATATCAAAATAGAATATGTCTGGTTCAAATATTCTACGAATACTTTCGAAACCAAAATACCCCCACAAATTTAGAATATAAACCATCCAAAATAACCCAAAAAAGCATCACACAAACTCATAAATGATAAAAATACCAAAAAAATATTGAAGAAATAAACAATCCAAAATCTCGAGTAATTTTCAGACACAGTCTTAAAAACTATGGTCGCCCATCTGACTCACATACTGTTCATATTCTGCTCGTCGTGGGTCTGAATGCGTCGGATCTACCCGTGCCTCGCTGAACAAAAGTTGATGGAGGATGTCGTGCTACCATAGTTGGCTATTGCTGCGTCAAACCGTCGTAGGGAGGAACGTTGTGATTGGTGTTCGCGTTGTAAGTTGCGTGCCATTGGATCTGTTGTCGCCGTTTGTCGGGGCAAATCTATAGGATACGAGTTTTTGTGCCGAGTTCGTGAAGTTGCATCGCTACATAATCTTCCGGCCACCGTTGGATGTTTACCTGCTGGAATGGGACGAGATTTTGGGAGGAAGAGATGGAAGAGAAAGTAAGAGAGAGAATGGTGTTGGTGTTGGTGATTTTTTAGAGAGAATAAAATGAACAAGATTGAGATGAAGAGAAAGGCGGAAGAGGGTCTGGATGGTATGAGAGAGAAGAGAAAGGCGGAAGAGGTCTGGATAGTATAAGAGAGAGAACAAGAAGGAAATAAAAGTTTTAGGATTGTCCAAGTAGAGAAAGGGGTAATTAAAAAGTAAAAACGAACATGTGGAGGTCGAAGATATATGCCAATATTGGATTTAGTAATAAGATATTCAAAATTTAGCTTTTAAATCAATTTGAAATTTGGTTTCAAAATCTTATTTCCTTTTAGCAAAATAAAATTTATTTCTATAAAATACGTGTCTACCGTCAAAATTAAGTTTAACTATAAAAGGATAGTGATGGGAAGAATTCAAAACTCACCGTTATAAATCCTGGGATGACTCATTCAAATCAAACAAACTCAATTTTTTTTCTCTGTTTATTTACTTACTTAAAAAAAAAAAGAACGCAATTGCTTATCAGCAAAAACTTGTAGATGAGGTAAATCCCTTGTTAACGCACTGATGGAAATAAGGTTGTAGTAAAAGCAGGTATATAAAAGACTTTTTTAGCGTAATATCTTATAAAATTCGAATAGGACTAACAAGTTCTGTAGTAAAGTTGGATTTAGCAGGCGAAAGTTACGACGACTAGAGAAATCATCGTGAGATTCACGAATAGGAACTTTAAGTAGGAAATGTATGCCCGAAGTACCTGAGTCAAAAATTCAAGATTGTTTAACAGGTATAGTATTGATTCTACATGCCATGTAGGAGCTCGAAGCCTCATAAAGAGTGATAACTTTGGAGTTGGCAAACTATGATTGAAGAATGTGAATGAGTTGTTGACACTGAACAGCCATGTCCAAACCAGATTGAGAAACTGCTAATGCTCGAGAATCACTCTACTTTGAAGAAGATGCAGAAACCGAATTTGAAGATGAATTTGGAGTTGAAGCAGTTGATTGATAAGAATTATACTGACCAAAAGACTTGTAAGTTGTATGCCCTAAAATTCCACAATGAACGCATAATGGACGCTATCTTTCTGACATGTCCACTGGTATTATCCGTGCGACGAAGATATTACTGATTGGGAGGAGAATCATGGCCGGAGAGGGAAGAATTTGACGACGGCGAGGGAGGAGTTGGCTCCGAAGCGTCTGTAATGGCGAATATAGTGAGAAAAAAATTAGCGGGAGAGGCGCACAGAAAGGAATTGTTACTTCTTATACCATATTAAAACTAAAGGTTCAAGGACTGAATAATCTCCTTTATTGATTGACTATGACTATGACTATGAATAACTTCCCGTCTCCCTCATCTTCTCCCTCTTTCCTTCTTCCCATCCCACGAACCAGGCCGCCGTCGTCGTCGCTATAGCGTCTCGCTCAACCCCACACCCACCCACGCCACCCTCTTCCCCATCGCCTTGCTCGCCTCGATCTCCATCGCCGCCACCCATTTGTGTGAGTTAGATTGAGAAGACTAGGGGGAGAAAAAGCGGCGAAAACATGCGAATCAAGCCCTAAAAAATCTGAAGCTCGCGAATCGTATGATTGATTGGAACTGGAGTCGATTGAAATTTTGGGGGAGAAAATTGAGGGAGGAAGAGAAAGAGAGAGTAACCCGTGGGAACTGGTAGATGTTGGTAGGGGTATTGATTGCCCTTTCTTACCTTCCATGGCGGAATAGTGACCCTTTCCTAATTCTTAACCCAACTATTTCGTATACATTGGATGCAATTTTTTTTCGAGAGAATGAGAAGTTCAATTGGGTATCGCAGTCTGTCAGAGACGGAGGACACGCCGTTCTTCGGAAGGGAAGAAGGAAAGAAGAAGAGGATGGGAGGTGGAAAAATGCCACCATAATCCAATCCCAGAAAAATAATATTAACTTAATATACCACCCATTTAACCTCTTGATTAAATCTTCTTCTTCTTTTTTTTTTTTTGTCAATTAACCGTTAAAAGAGTTAAAAACCATTTAAAATTATTTTAAAAATTTTAAAGACTAAAAGTGTTGATTTTAAAATATAATTTCAAAAAATATCGCGAATCAAATACACTTATTTCGAATAAAAAAAAATGGATTTTGCCCTTATTTTTAAAATTAACCTTTCTTCTTTGCAGGTCGGCCTAGGTAGGTTGTCTGTGTCTCCGGCCGGACCAGTCAATACCATACACTAGTACTTTTTAGGGTTTGCTAGTCCTGTGCTTCTTTCAAATTCTCCAGCATCTGGGATAAAAATGGCTAATCAACTGCACGGTTACAACTCTGCCTACGGCGTGGGACCTGCCACTGCCACTCCGTCTCTTCCCAGCACATAATCGTCTTCCCGTTCCCTCGCCGACATTGTTTCCGGCCGTTACCTCGTGTCAGACTCACTGTCCTCCGGTATCTCCATTAAGCACTCTGTAACTGATCGAGGTGCCTCCATGTATTCGACCCAGAAAGAAGCCCTTAGGTTATCCGCCGCCGACATTGTTCCAAGAACGTCGCATTTGGTGTCTCAATACTCATGGTCGGGTACTGATGTTGCTGCTGCGCTTGACTCTGTTGTTTCTGGCGTAAAACGTTCGTCCGACGGTAAGTTTTATTCTCTTTCCATTTCAATCTCTTAGAAAACCACCTAAAAGACGGCGTAAAATAATTAGTTGGGTACTAGGAGATTGGCTTTAAGTGTCGCAAAACGAGGCCGAATCTATGGACTTCTGCTTTCAGGAAACAGAACCGATAGAATTCTTAAATACGTTTTGATTCTTTTTCATGCGTTCATCTAACCACCAAATGGCATTCGAGATCATACGGCGGCTTCAGTGCTTCGATTCGTTCCGTTCGCTGTTTTTTCCTTTATATTATTTTTTGTAAAGTAATATTTTTCTCGTGTTTCTTTTCCCAATTGACTTTAGATATGATTTGTGATAGAAAAACGCTATAATGTTCTTGTCATTTAATTTTATTCCATATCTTTGACATATTGGACGAAAGTTAACCCGAATAGTTCAATACCAGTAGAAAAAGATAGATGTCCTCATCCTTGTACGTTCTCTCTGTTATGGCAAGTGGAATTTACTTATTCCTTTCGTAACAAAATATTTTATACAGAAGCCATATTTCTTCTCTGGAGATTGGAACAATGGTGTTATAAGTCTCCAGTCATTCATTCACGTGTTCTCTTATTTCATATACATAATTTTATGTATGGGGTTGACGTAATGGTTTGTTTTCATACTGTTGCTACACATTTAATTTGCACCGCATCACTATGAAGCAGTCTTAAATTGATATGATTTTTCACAGTTTTCATTTTTAATTAAAGTTTCAAAGGTCCTAAATTCTATCCCTCATCCGGACTGTTTATTTTTATTATATATATTTTTTCAAATTTTCTATTTTACATAATCTACTATATTTAATTTCTAAATATATACAGCCAGAAAAGTAGTTTTAGATGTACTTATATAGTAACGTATATGTTTGTCTTTCTTGTACATATTTGTCTACTATGTACAATAGTGCTCTACGATCAGACTGTTTTGGGTTCCTGTAACACTTTGGGGCAAAGTGAAGCTTGGTATACTTCAAATTCTTTAGCCAAGCGTCCTAGATTTGAAAGTACAAGCAATTTGCCTGTATATCCGCAGAGGCCAGGAGAGAAGGACTGTGCCCACTATATGCTCACAAGAACCTGTAAATTTGGAGATAGCTGCAAATTTGACCATCCTATTTGGGTTCCCGAAGGTGGAATCCCAGATTGGAAAGAGGTGACTGTTTACTGTTATATTTTATACCTATAAAAAAGAATTGTTATCCAGAAATCACCAAATACTTCACTGGTGTATTATATATGCTTAAAACTAAGGGTGAGTGATCTGGGGTTTTGTGTTAGTAATTTGATGATATCTTGATTTTGTGCTGTAATCAATGCCGCCTTTTCTCTATGCTAGGTTTAAAAATTGATCTTCTCTTGTTCTAGTTTAATATATGATTATGAAAACATCTTTCTGTAAATTGGGACGCAGTGCTAGCCGTCTATCAATTTTATTGATGTGGGGCAATTTAGTAAATCAATTATCTCAAGTAATTTCTGGATTTGAAGATTTTGAAGTGCATTTGGATGATTATTGGAAGGTATGGTCCATGGATCTACTTCTATATGGGTAGGATAATAGTTTATGGAATTCTATTAGGTTTTCAAGTGCGGCCTATTAGTTTCCATTGGAATTTTATTTAGATTTCGACTTTTCAGTTTTAGCAAATGTAGCTTTTTCATTAAGTTATTTTTTGTTGAGAATTTATGAATGAAAGATTTATAGTTGTGCATGTTTTCTCTTTCCATTTTGTATTCTTTCCTTCTATTCTTGCGTCTTATATGGTGAAACCATAAGGACTAGGTGCCTTATTCTTGCCATGATCTTTAACCGCTTGCCAAATTTTTGCTTCCTCAAATTTTCTTTCCAGCCAAGAACAATTCAGAATTGAAATGGGAGAAAAACGCCTCAACTCATCTGATGCCACTGGGAGAAAAACGTTGAAGCGGTACAATCGATCAAAGAAACCTAAGATTTTAGTTTCCATCTCTCTCTGATTGATAAGAAAAGTCCCTTGTGCATTCTTCACCTCAGAGATAAATTTCGCAAAACTTTTGAATAAAGTTCCTCTCTTCCCAAATACACAAACTTAGCAAGTTTGTTTGAAGAGAACACCTCTTCTCCGCTTCTTGTGAGGAAATACCAGAAATTTCTTCCTTTTGACTCAATGGATGATATTTCTTCTATGATTTGAACTTCTTTCTCCTTTTTCTTCTTTTCATTCTGCATTGACCACAGTTTGAGCGAGTTTCTCAAGTTTCTGAATTTGCAAAACTATATGAATCCTACCCATGATAAGAAGTATTCTTAGCAAGTTTAGATTTTTTTTTTTTTTTTTTGATGAAGATACAATTTTTTCATTGATGTATGAAAAGAAATAAATTTTTCAAAGATACAAACTCTCGAAGGAGTGAAAGAGTAATAAAAAAGAGTAACAAATACATATAAAAGAGCCGATACAAGAAAAAGTTTGGAAGAAACAAGAAAAGATAAGTTGATGAACGAACTTCAAAAATCTTTGACAATCAATCGTGCAAAGAGAGTGAAGCAATCCCTTCAAACGGGAAAATAAGACCTCAAAAGACTAACTTCGAGAAAAATTAACTTTTGGCTTTCAGCGCGTTACATCTAGATAACACGGACACGCTCAAAATGACAAAGTGTTCGTGTCAAACTTCAAGACTCTTTCTTTTCTACGTTATGAAAGTTATTGGACTACTCAATTACTTGGTTTTGGGAGGATGGTTGGATTAGAGATAGCACCTTTTCCTTCTTTCCCTCACCTATATCACCTTTATTCAAGTTTGCTCATGTGACTTCTATCCTCTTCTATTGGGGATTATGTGTTATACAACTTTAGCTTTCTTTGCCTGTCCTCAAATGAGGAAGTGCTTCCCAAAAATGATAGATGATTGGATGGTTGAAGTGCTTCACAGGTGGACTCTTCCTAAAAAGGCTAAGTTTATTTGGAAGTGTGCTTCAAGGGCTCTCCTATGGAGTCTATGGCTGGAAAGGAATTCTCGCATGTTCGAAGATAAGTCGACTACTTTTGGTTTTTTTTGTAGGAATGTACAGCACATGACCTCTTGGTGGTGCATCACTTATAGTAAATTCTTTTGTAACTACAATCTTTCCATGTTTATGAACAATTGGGAAGCGGTTGTTTATTTCGTTCGGTGGGGTTCCCTCTACCCCAGCCTCTAGTTTGTTTCTCTTTTTTTTGATCAATAGAGATATGTTTCTTATCTAAAAAAAAGAAACCTGTGATATATATATATATATATATATATATATATTTTTTTTTTTTACTTTTTCCCGAATCGGTTTTAGTGATGAAGTTGTGGACTCCCAGTCCTTCTTGGGGGTTTTTGTGAAGCTCGTCCTATCTTTTATGCAATTCACACCCTTATGTCCCCTGTTCATTCTTTTTTGTTGCGAAAGGTTTGGATCTCCAAATTTTCTCGGACAAGCCTAATTCTTTTGAATACTTTTGTGATATTGTAAAGTTTATAGCCGCTAATTGGAGTGGTCAACACAAGTTATTTTGTAACTACTCAACTTATACTATTGGTTTAGATTGGAGTTTGGACGGTCTTCATGTAGCCTCAATTTGATAGAAGGCTCATCTTGTCCCTTTGTCCTTTAGGCTGTTTCTCCCCAGCTGACTTTTTGAATGAAAGTTGACTTTGTTTCTTATCAAAGAAGAAAAGGGAAAAGAAAGGTTAGGATCTCCAACAAGGTTGAGCTTGGTAGGTACATAATGGTAGGATTAACACCATTGATTATGTGTAGGGGTCTAGGTTGTATCGATATGTGATACATGATTGTGCTTAAGAGGATCTGGATCATGGCATTTTGTGCACTTAATCTGGACAATGTTTTTTTGGAGCCTTTTGGTGTATCTTTGATCCATAAGAGTTGTTGTCTTCTTTATTTTTATATTTATTTTATTTAACAAGAACTTTTCATTGAATTAATGAAAAAAATGTTCAAAGATTCAACCTTAGAGGGAGGAAACACACAAAAGAACTAAGAATTAAGCTTCTAATATAAAAGCATTCCATCCTTTCGAGAGTTTGTATCTTTAAACAATTTTTGTTCATTTTAATTTATTTGTGAACCGTTCGTTTCTTGTTAAAAAAAATATAAAGCATTCCAATTTAAAAAGATAACCCTTGATGGTGGTGTTGTTCCACAAACTACTTTGGGACAAGGGAGGGGCTCTTTGATGTGCAACTTTATTTTGCTATTTGGGAACTATCTAGCTTGGCCACCATTTTGTTGCCAAGTTGGACACCTAGTCGAGAAAGGAGTAAATGAATTGCAATTGTTCCTTGTACAATACATGATAAATAATGGGTATGATTAATGTTTCTGAATATCTTTGTCCAGAATTCTTTTGCACTTGTTGCCTGGAGGTGGCTTGCACTTTTATTTCCACGTTATTTTTTCCAATGGTTGTCCATCTCATCTATAATTTATTTAGGTCCCACAAATAGCTAATAATGAAGATCTTCCAGAAAGACCCGGGGAGCCAGATTGTCCTGTGAGTTCTATTATAACTAGTTTCTCTTTGTATCTCTTTTTGAAGTATTAAGCACTTATTTCGCCTACTTTAGTTCACGGCCTTTTCAATTCCTGCAGTACTTTTTGAAAACTCAAAGATGTAAATTTGGCTCAAGGTGCAAGTTCAATCACCCTAAAGATAGATCTGATTCTGTGGTAAGTTGTATGAACCCAAAGTCTTGAAACTGTATTTTTGTCTTGGATACCATTTTTTTTTAAATTTTTAATCTTGTGTTATATAATTTTATCTTTTAACTATTTTCAGGGTGCTGAGAAATCTGATGTTTCAGCATTACCTGAGAGACCATCCGAGCCACTGTGTGCAGTAATATACACATACATACACATGCACACACATTCTTTACTAGCCATTTTTAAAGTGTGCAAGTCGGATATTGACATATTGCTCAATTATTTTTCCTTGCAGTTTTATGTTAAAACTGGAAAGTGCAAATTTGGTGTTAACTGCAAGTTCCATCACCCAAAAGATATCCTAGTTTTATCTGGGGCAGAAAATGGAAATAGCGAACAAACTCTGATGGAAGCTAAGATAGAAGGAGGAATTGGAGACTTCAAGCTTGTTAAGCCTCCTGTTTCATTTCCACCAGCACTGATACACAATTCTAAAGGACTTCCAATTAGACTGGTAATGTATTGGATAACATTTATGAAAATCCTTCTCAATGAAAGCATTGTTTCTCATAAAAAAAAACATTTATGGAAATCCAAATATTTGTTTTCATCCCAAAGGATGCTAGTATTTTTCTTTTTCTTTTACAAGAAACAACCTATAAAAAACCTTTCATTGATAAATGGAAAGGAAAAATGCTCAGGTACAAGCCCTCAAAGGTGAAAAAGAAAGAAAAAAAACAAAAGAAGAAAAGAAGTGCAACGAGGAACAATACAATCATAACAAATAAGAAAGAACATTAAGAAAGCCAAAAAACCACCAACAAAAGACTCTTCAAAGCATTCAGCTTTCTCACACTTCCTTTTATTCCAATCTCTTTGAGCTAACATTGGATAACATTGGAAGAGTTCGATCAAACCTTGAATTTCATGCTCTACCATCTTTTGTGTTGCCAATTACTTCATTCTCTGGAACTTATGATTAAATTTTTATTGAAACAAAACCTTATTTTTGCAATTTGTTAATTATTATTATTATCATCGTTTTTATTCTTTCTAAATGAAAAGAACAACTTTAATTGAGAACGAATGGAAGGAAACAGGACCTAAAATTTATCAAATAATTTGCTTCTAACAGGGTGAAGTGGATTGTCCATTCTACTTGAAAACTGGCAGGTATATGAGCACATACAACTAATTTGTTAATAGTACCACTTCAGAATATTACCAATGAGTCTTATGTTTATTGATTGTTATGTATTAGTTGCAAGTATGGTACCAGTTGCCGCTACAATCACCCTGACAGAAACGGTATGCATGTAATGTTCTTGTTTGCAGTTTTAAAACTTGGAAAGGTATGCAATGATGGCTTAATATATGCTTGGGACTTTTGGGCAGCAATCAATTCATGCAATGCAACAATGGTTCATCCTGCTATGGTCTCAGCATCTAATATGAATATTGGACTTGTTAATCCGTCTAATGCTATTTATCAAGCAATTAATCCCAGATTGATTCAGCCACCTGTAAGTCAGTCTTAGTCTTGGGGGTAGTGTTGATTTTATGGCTCTTAGTATTTTTTCACTCAATTGATCCCTTGTTTTTACTTCTAAATTTGTCCAGTTTGATGGTTGTTATATTATTTCCCTTGCATGCCTTTCATGTTCCTTAATGAAAGCTCGGTATCTTTTAAAAGGAAAAAATAGCCCATTGAATTGATGTCCTATTGGGTCTTGTGCTGCATTGTTTTCACTGAAAATTCCTTTATTTTGAACATGTTAATTAAACATTAATAGAAGTGCTTCTGAGTATCCGGATTTTCTGAAATTCATTACAAAAGCATCACGTTTGAACTTCTGAGGTTTATGAATCTTCTTGGGGTGATAGTTGATTCATGCTATTTTGCTTTATGTTGCAGTTAGGATCCAGCTCAAGTATTTACCCTCAACGACCTGGGCAGATAGAATGTGATGTGAGAACCTACTCACCCTCCTCTGATAGGTTCTCTAGAGAGTCTCAATAAGAAAAAGCGATGGTCTTCTTTTCATTGTTTCTAACTTTTTTTTTTAAAAAAAAATTTATTTTAAACAAGATACGAACTTCTCATTGATTAATGAAAGGGAATAAAATTGTTCAAGATACAATCTTCCAAAGAGATTTTTTTTCTTCTTCTTTTCGAGACACCCTCTATATAAAATACATTAATATATATAGTGAAGAACCAAGAGAGAGGGAGAGAGTGGAGAAAGGACGGAGAGGATGAGGTGGGAGAGAGAGCTTACTATTATATAAAAGCTTAGATGATGTGAAAAAAAAAAAAAAATCATGAGATAGCAAGGGTGTGGGTATATTTAAACTGGATGAAAATTTGAGGAAAAGTTGTTCAATGGTCCCAAAAGGACAAGATTGGAGGGATGAAGGAGTTTGTTGCATATAAATGTAAGATTCCCTTAAAAAGAAGCTATGGCTTCTGTTTCCTTGTTAAACATGTAAATACCACAAAACATATGAAAAGATCTTGCATTGGAACATAGCACACACATTTGGGATGATGACCCAATTAGGGCCACACTTTTAAGCCTTTCAAATGTGCTGGCTCCTTCCAAAAGTATTTTCCGAGCCAACAAATTTACTTTTCCAGGACACTCGGTTTTCGACAGTGTGCCATTTTCACTTAAAAATAAAACAAAACAAAGAACTAATATCCTAAATTAGCACACATCTCAAAATATACATGCAAGATTTATGTCATTACCTCAACACGACCAATGTAGAACATTACAACTATCCGTGTCCATGTTATTAATATTAGTTCTCGTTCTTTTATTGTTTTTGAGTTGAATCTTTTATTGTTTTGTTGATATGCTCTTTCACTCTTAAATATCTTATTTTATAGTATTATATGAAGACTGGGGACTGTAAATTTGGGGAAAGATGCAAATTTCATCACCCTATTGATCGGTCAGCACCAAAGCAGGCTGCTCAACAAAACGTCAAATTGACACTAGCAGGCCTACCCAGGAGAGAGGTATATATCTGCTTGTGCCTTGTTAAGTTCACCTTATAAGATGTTTGAGTACACCCTATCTGGAGTAGTAACGTTGAAAACTGTTCACAAGACAAAACTTCTGTTTTTTATTACCAAAACATGTCTGTTTAAAAAGTAATCACCAACCATCTATTATAGAATTTTATTGAGCTCCCAGAAGTGTGATAAAAGATTCTTTTTCTTATCCAAAAAGGAAAAAAACAAGTCACCAACCATCTATTAGTCTGGAGAGGTTTGTAGTTGTCATATTGCCGACAGTGAGTGAACAGAGGAAAGGTCATGTTCTTTAGTAGACTGGTTTCTCCATCTTTATGTGGTTTATTTTGTTGGAAAGGAAAAGGAGAATGTTTATTGGTTGGATAGTTCGTAGGAGGGTGTTTTGACTTTGGTCCATTCTTTTGGTTATCTTGCTCTTTAACACAAATTTATTTCTATCATTTGGCGCCACCACACACCCCCATCCCTTTTTATGGACTTCTCTTTGTTCTTTGTTTTTTCATTTGTCTTGATGGAGGTTGGTTTCTCATGAAAAGGATAAACAATCAAAAAGAGTGAGAGAAAGAGAGATCCATTTTGTCTTGAATTCTCATCGTATACCATTCCAAAGGTAAGTACGCTCTTTTTCCTCTCCTCCTGAGAATTCTTGGTCAAGCTTCAAGATGTCAACTGAAACAATGGTTTAAACAGTTGCTATGGGCGGAATATAGTTACAATACGGCCCATACGTCAATCATGTTATCACCCTTTGAGGTAGTTTATGGCCATTCTCTGCCACGATTTTAAAGTATACCATGGACTCGTCGGCGGTGAGTGAGGTTGATCACCAACTTTGTGATCGTGATGTTATGTTGGGACTTTGAAGAATTATCTGAGTAGAGCACAGCAGAAAATTATCAAGGCAGCTAATGCAAAACGGCGGGATATCTCCTTGAAGTACATGATTGGGTTTATGCTAAGTTACAAGTTTACAACCTTACATGCAATCCTCTTTATTCCGTCAGACTCATCCTAAATTGGCACTCGTTTCATTGGCCCATTCCAGGTGTTGGCGAGGGTTGGAAAGGTCGCTAACAGACTGGCTCTATCCGATGGCTTTTACTTGTATTCCGTGTTTCATTATTGCGCAAGGCAGTAAGGCATAACATGCCTATTTTTCATATCCCCAGGGCTATAACCCCGGATTTGCAGCTTTGCGTAGGTTCCCAAGGGATGAACTAGAAGTGTTGATTCATTGGGAGCATGCTATTATGGAGGATGCGACTTGGGAAAAGGTTTCTCTCGTTGCCTTGCAATTTATTGATTTCCACCTTGAGGACATGGGGGCTCTTTGGGGGGCGGGTAGTGATAGGCCCCAAATTACTAGAGTCTACCAGCATAAGCGTGCGAGGAAGAGTGAGCATTACGCTCTAGTAGGTGGGCCCATAGGAAATATTTGTTAGTTATGTTTGGGCCATGGGGGTAAGGTAGAGTGGGTTGGCTATGTTGAGGTATCTCTTGGATAGTTGTTGGCTTGTATTCTCTGTTGAGAATTGGGAGAGGCAAGGAGCTCTCTAACCTCCCTGGGCTTGTGTTGATAGATAAAATTGAGGCTTAGACCTATCATATTGAAGACAACACTAAAACCTTGAAAATCTACTTTGACACGCGTGTCCCCGACACGTCTTTTTTTTTTTAAAAAAAATAAAATTGGACACGTTTGGGCTCGGTGGGACACACACGGGACACGCTAAATAAGCATCCCATTTGATTTTTAGATTCTTTTTTGTCTTCTAGCCCACAGTCCATAGGCCCAACCTGATTCATTAGGTTTTCCTTTGCTGCCTTGGTATTTCTTCTCCATCGTTCCCTTCGTTTTTCTTTCAATTTTTCTGCCGATTTTTATCTTCATTTTCTTCGTCATTTCTTCCACTTTCTTCTGCCTACCAACCTTTCGCTTTCCCCATTTTCATTTGCACATTTTTGCGCCTTCTTTATTCTCCATTTCTGTTCCATGAGAATGAGAAGTAGAAGTGACAAAAAGGGAAGAAAGGAACAAGTAAATTCTGGGAGTGGAGGCGTAGGTCTATCATATTGAAGACTAAAACTAAAACCTAGGAAGCACTGAACACGTGAAAATTAGTCAAGACACCAACATGTTCGGACACGTGACGTGTCTTAATTTCTTTTTTCTTTTTAAAATTGGACATGTTCTGACTCGGTGGGACATGCACGGGGACACACTAAATAAGCATCCCATTTGATTTTCAGATTCTTTTTTTGTTTTCTAGCCCATACTCCATAGGCCCAGCCTGATTCATTAAGTTTTCCTTTGCTCCTCTGGTATCTTTTCTTCTTCTCCATCGTTCCCTCTCGTTTTTCTTTCAATTTTTCAGCCGATTTTCGTCTTCATTTTCTCTGTCATTTCTAATGACATTTTTGCACCTTGATTTTCTCTCCATTTCTGTTCCGCAAGAATGAGAGGTAGAAGAAGTGACAAAAAAGGAAGAAGAAAGGAACAAGTAATGGCTGCATGGCTGGCTCTTGCTTGTCTAATGTAGCCGATCGAATCCAATCGGATCTGATCAAAGAAGCTGACATTATTTTCTCCATGACATACTGGTGGCAGCCAGCCATACAGTGTAATATTAATAGCTTTGTAGCAAGTAATATCTTTCCATAAAATTTTTATTAAAATATTGAATAAATTTTTTTATTGATTAAATATTAATAGCTTTGTAATATCTTCCTGTTTAATTAAGTATTTTTATTAAAATATTGAATATTTTTTTTTCTTGATTAAATATTAATAACTTTGTAACATCTCCCTATTTAATTAAGTATTTGCTTTTTTTACCAATAATGATTACAGATAATATTTATTTAGCTTTTATGTTGATGTACTTCCATGTTTTAAAGTACAAATCTTCTTTTAAAATTATTTGTTAAAATATGCACACACACACACACATATATATATATATATATTTAAATTGACATGTCCCAAGGTGTCGTACGGTGTCGTGTCCTACTTTTTTAAAAACTAACATGTCGTCGTGTTCGTGTTGTGTCGTATCCGTGTCGTGTATCCGTGTTGGTGCTTCTTAGACTAAACACAACTTTTCATATAAATCCATTTCCCACAGCCTACACCAATTTTGTGAAGCCTTCTTAGCCATCAACGATTTTTTGGGTCTTGATGCTCGCAGTAAAACTCATCTCTCGAAACTTATACAGCAATATGAAATAAATCATGACTCTCGTGTAAATAAACTTATGGTGGGCAATGATAGTCATCTTCAAAATTGTATAACGCTGTTCGGGTCTTGGGGCGGGCACCAATTCTAAATGTAAATTGTCTTCTACCCACTTAAATCTTTCTTGCTGACTTTGCATTCAATTCACCCGGAAAAGTCTACCAAGAATCAAAATCGAAGACTGATCGATGTTTTTGATTTTCTTTCCTTGCAAGATTGTTGATCACTTTGGTAGACACTTTGAAGTTTGAAGGTTGACTGTTCGTTGTTTAATTGTTTATTTATTTTCTAATGAGCTATATTTATATGGCTAACAGTTCCAAAAAAAGAATTCCAATTGATAGTAATATTTACAATACTGTAGTTACAAAAGCCTCTAGACAAGGAACACCAAGTAGAAGCAAAGATGTAGACAAGAACCCAAAAGCCCTTAGTTGTCGCCTCAATTTCCACCCGTGTTCAGCCTCTCTTGACTAAGGGTCCATAGAAGAACTTTCACCTTCTTGGAGACCCTTGCTTTCCCGATACAATTAATCAAGGCTATGGGGATGTACTTACTCCGTTTGGTATTTTTGGGATTAGTTAGCTGACTGAGAACTCTCCACTAGGGGTGTACATTGGTTGGTCGAAGTTCAGCTGTTTTGGAAGAATCTTCAACACCGGCCAATCGACTAGATGGATTGTCAGTCGGTTTAGGCCAAATAGTGTGAGAAAAGAAAAAATGAAGAAAGAAGAAGTTACAGAGAGAAGAGGAGGCGGAAGATGAGAGAGAGAAGAAGAAAAAACGGGAGAATAGAGAAAGGAAGAAGAAAATAAGAGAAAAGGGGAGATGAAGAGAGAAGGGAAGAAGAAAAAGGGAGAAGAAAATAAGAGAAAAAGGCAAGATGAAGAGAGGAGGGAAGAGGAAAATATGAGGGAGGAGCGAGTGATGAGAGGAAGCCAAAAGAGGAAAGAAAAATAAATTTTTTTATAATTTAGCATTTTGCAGTTTTGTCAACCAGTTTTGCAAACTACTACTATCTGCAGATGGCACTGTTGTTGCCTCTTATATTCTTTTTTAGAATTAATGGTCGGTCGGTCGATCAGAAATCATTTTTCAACTGGACCAGCTGGCCGTTAGCTTTCAGTTGTAGAAAACCGATTCCGACCAAACCATTCATAAAACTGGCCAACCAGCATGTTTTGATCAGTCAGATCAATTTTTCGGTCCTTTTTTTTGACCCTTGCTCTCCAGTGCTATTCAAACTCAAAACTCTAGTATGTCACTATTCATCGGTTTAAAAGAGGTAAGAAGCTGTTGAAGTCCAATCCAACCCATTTTTCAATTTCAGCTTCAGAGACGTTTCTTCGTATTAACGTTTCAACATTTAAATCTCCTTCTTAGACCACATATGTTGCACCGTGACACATTTGGAGCGCGCAACTCTAGAACTCCTTGAGAAAGTAGTATTTAGGGGCCACACCCAGCCCAATCATCTTCCCAGAGAAGGATGGAGGATACACTCTCCAGTCCCATAACTATAATTATACCACTTATCAGCCAAGCCACAACACTTCGCAATCGCAAGCCACGGACCTTTGGTACTTCCTAGCAGTTACCTCTCTGCAAAGTGAGTTTTGTTCCTTCATGTACCTCCAAAAGACTAATACTTTTGGCGAAAAGGTCTTCCATGCCCAATCCTCCTTTGTAAACCAGCAAAGAGGTAAGTTTCGAGTTCACTAGGTTAGAGCCATTTTCCTTATTCTTGCCTCTCCGTGTAAAAGCTCTCATAAGTTTTTCTAGCCTTCTAATCATAGATTTATGGCACTGAATAACCAAGAGGCAGTAAATATGGATTCTTCTAAGGACAGCATTAACCAATGTTAATCTCCCACCGGCCACCTCTAGAGCTCATAAAACAATTCCATCAGCCAATTTTGAGCTAATTTTCTCTTCAATCGGGTCCAACCTTTTAGATTTAGGATTTCCCCCGGATGCATCCCAAGTTACTCCATAGTCCAATTTCCAACTCCACAACCCAACCTCTGGGCTATAATGCACACCTCTTCTAGTTCTTACTGGAGATTAATACCCTCCAACGAAGTTTTATTCAGGTCGATCTTCATACCTGACATGAACTCAAAGAGAGGTACTGTGGCTTGCAAATTTCTCAATTTTTGCATTTCATTACTGGAAAATATAATTGTATCATCAGGGAACTGCAAGTAGTTTTTTATATGGATTCGACCTTCCAAGAGACCAGCCTACCTTAGCCCAACAGGCTTCCAATCGAGGCTTTAATTTCCCCTCTAGGATGACCATTAACAAGGATTGAGAAAGGTGTTGGTGACACACCCTGCCATCAAAGAAATCTATTTGGTTGATGTAGTGAGTTAGTTTTATATTTTTGGTTTAATTGTTTTAGTTTTGAATACATTTGGCTGAACCTTGTATTCACACTGCATTATGATCAAATTTCAATTGTGATTTGTGAATAATGATTTCTCCTTTGAATTTGTTGAGAGCTTTAGGCTACATCATGCATTTTCTTTTCATCACTTCAAAGAGTACGTGATCTGAATGTTTGGCCAATTTGATAATTACTTTTTAAAAGAGCTTCATTTTTAGTATTTTATCTTTATCAACCATTCCGACCACAAAGTTTAGGTGTGGACTGGACCCGTCTGCTACCTGGATCTGCAATGATAAATGGCATTCTTCTAAATGCAATGCCAATTGTTATAAACGAATCTGGAAAACAAGTTATGTTGCAATAGTATAAAACATAGATTAGTTATTCCTTCTATTCCTCCTTGTTGACATATGTTACTTAAAATAGTTGAAATAATCGAGTACCTTGACAGGATGCCATAATTTGTCCATATTATCTGAAAACTGCCACATGCAAGTATGGTTCTACTTGCAAATTTGACCACCCACCTCCTGGAGAAGTTGTGGCAATGGCAGCAATACAAACTGTTCAAGGAAAAGAGGGTGAAGAACGGATAGATGAATAGGTTGATGAATAGCAGCAGTAGAGATTCTGGTGAAATTTATAAATGTGGTATAGGCTTCCTTTTGGTATGGTATCTCCCGCTCCTTAAATCTAGTGTCGACTTGCACAACAGTTGTAACTTTTTAAAATAATTTGTATGTTGAAGCAAACTCAGAAGGAAGCTTGGTTTCATTAATGGTGCATCAAATTAGTTCCTTATTAGACTCAGCAAAATTTGTACGTTTCCTCTTTTTTGTAATATGCGCATATTGGCACATAAATGAAGTTAAGAAATGTCTCGATCCTTTTCAATGTGTTTGTTGTCTCCTTTTTTTGCTGTTTTGGGGCCAATTATTTTCTTGGCTTTTGGTACATTGAATCTTCTCGAAGTAGGGGTGAGATTTTATCACATTGGTCATAGTTGTAGAAGGATGAGGTCGGAGCTTTTAGCTATTTTACTGATTTTGTTGATTGACGGGTAACTAGATTCTTGTTCCTATTTTTCATATTGTGGGTTGGTGTATGGTACATGCTATATCTATGTTTAAATTACAAATTTAATCTCTGGACTTTTTGCTTTGTTTGATAGCTTCCTGAACTTTAAATAGTATATCAATCAATGATTTATTAGACACAAATTAGAAGTTGAAGGACTTGTTAATATAATGGAAAGTTTAGAGACCTATTAGACATTATTTATAGTTAAGGGGTTTATTGGGCAAAGTTTTGAGAATTTATTAGCTACAAATTTGAAAATTTTGAAACTAAACTTGTAATTTAGCCTATATTTATTTACTATGTACCATGTTGTACAATACAATGCCTTATCAAGTAACTATTACTCAACTCTTTATTTGTCTAATAAGTCTTCTAATTCCATAATGTTATTACCATCCTTTATATGGGTTATGCGGTGCGATGTAATTTTTGCAGTTTATCAACAGTTCATTCACTGGGTAATTGTGTTGCCAAAACTTTTTTTTTTTTTTTTTGGGTACTAGGCAGTGCAACTCTTCTAATGCAAAATTTCTACTGTGTAACTCTTTTGCTTAGTGGTAATTCTTTTTTTTTTCTTCTTCTATAGAACATTGTATGGGAATGGAGTTTTGAATTCTCAACTTTTTGTTTGGAGATAAAGGCTTTAAGCTATTGAGATATGCTATGTTGGCTTTTGCTTAGTTGTAATTAATCTACTAATGTAGAACAAGCTTTTTTGTTCTGTACAAGTTGTTTATTAGGTGATTCATATAGATTTTGTTTTATTTATCAGGAAACTCTTATATTACAAAATTCCATAGTGCGACTCTTTATTTGTAGGGTAATCCCAGTATAGAACATGAAAATTAACTCTTATAGTTCTAATGTTTTATTTTCGTGCCGAATGGTAGCAGTAGAGTCTTGTCACCTTTTTGTTTCCTTTTTCTAAAACACTAAATTCACTTGTTAAATCTCTGGATTCTTTCTTTAGTAAATTTACTTTTAAAATTTTAAATAAAAATTCGGTCATTTATTTTCTAAGTGAAGATTTGCTTATCTACTTTTAAAATTTTAAGACTCAATAAGAGGAATTTTAGTCGTACGAAGAATATTATATACTCCTAATACAAAAATTATTAAGAATGCAAACAATAATAATTGAGGTGCTTATTCCCATTTAAAAAGATTTTTTTTGTATTGTTTATCTATGACGGGAGGAATAAAAAGATTTTTTTTGTATTGTTTATCTATGACGGGAGGTTTTGGTCAAATTTCAAAAATTATGTCTACAAACGGCACATTTTTTCTAAGTTTTGTCAAAGTAAATTACAATATAATCTTTACGAAACATCAAAATAATATAGATAACTAAACATAGTAAAGTCGGACAATCATGAGCCAAACCTTAAATTCATGGTATAATATCTAATATATAGATTGCACAGGGTGCATGCTTGCTTTTATCCGTAAAACAACCTGCCTGGATTTATTTGTTTACGAGTGAACTAGTAGTCATAAGAAGCATATAAGTAAACTGGGTCCATAACTCATAAATACCAAGTATGCAAGGCAAAAAACTGCAGAAGAAAATTTTCTAGACTTCCAGAAATATGAAGAAACTCTCTTACCGCCAACGATTGTCCTAAAGTTGAAACCACTTTTTGAAACATGTTTACGTTACCCTAATCGATATTCCTAGAGAACTAGTGCTGCACTAACATCAAAAATATCCAGCTTCATCTTGTAGATAAAGCCTTAAACTAGACCATAAAACAACTGTACAGTAAGCCCAAGGGCCTTCACTTAAATCCTCCGGACATAAGCCGACCATTGTCATCATAAACGGTGGTTTGCATCTTTCCAAGGGCAAACTACTGCGTTGCCATATGCTGCATTTAATAACCCATGCGTAGACTTCAGGCTGTGTCCGTTTTGCAGAATCTTTATCTTGGTGTGGCCATTGCTTATCGCATCTGCCGATAATTGGCCACATGCTGCTTTAATGAGCCCTGCAATACGAGATTTGGTACCATCACAACATGAAGCAACGTGAAAAATAATGCCTATGGAACATTGCCAGTCTACTTCCGAACTAAAAGCAGAAGTAATCAAATACATTATATAAGTCATAATTAATGTTGTGAATTCCTCAACCTAGAAACTTATGAATAAATTAGTAACCCGATTATGCAAGTACAGTACCTAAGAAGAGTGGGGAAGGTTTCCCTGGTCTGGACTTAAATTCAGGATGAAACTGAACTCCTACAAAGAATGGATGGCCCACCAGCTCAACAATCTAAAGCAAGTTCAAACACAATATACTCCTCAGGACTAAAAACCAAATACTGGAAAACGGTAGATAATGTGTCCTCACAATCGTTTAAAATAATGCATACCTCCATACGACGACCTGTTTCATCACTGCCGACAAAAGATAAACCAGCCTTTTCAAGTTGAGACACCATTTCAGGATTGACCTACCCAATGAAAAATGAATATAGGTATCTCATCAGCTAACTAAAGACCACATACAGAATCTTTCCAACTAAGCTAAAAGAATACCTCATATCTATGTCTATGCCGCTCATCAACAAACTTTACATTGCCATACCTTAAACGAAGTTTCAAAATAATAGAGGTAAGTTATAGATGAGGAATGAGAGATGAGATTCATCACAACACGTGTTAATTAAAATCTTCCACAGAGCCACACAGTCAATATGAGGTCCTTACAACTTTGCAGATTTGCAGTTCATAACATTAAAGTAAGTTCTCCTCGACCCTAAACGCATAGTTCCTCCCATATGAGTCTTTGAACCCTATTATAAGAACAGGAACTCAAGATCACAGGATATGTGGAAGCAACTTGAGTAAACTTGTAAAGTGCACACCTCAGGCATAAAAATCACACATGGATTCGTGGTTTCAGGATCAAACTCTGTGCTGTTAGCATCACGTACACCAAGAACAGATCTGGCAAATTCAATGACAGCAATTTGCATCCCTAGGCATATGCCCAGAAATGGAATCCCATTCTCTCGAGCATATTTGGCTGCTAGTAATTTCCCTTGTACTCCCCTATCACCGAAACCTCCTGGAACTAGAACACCGTCAGCACCCTGAAAAAATAGTACTGACTGGATAAGTGCAGAAAAATTAACATTTACAACTAGAGAGAAGGAAAAACAAATTTACAAACAAACTCAAACATGTTAGGGCACCTTTAAGAGTTCCCATGCAGCTCTATAAACCTCTGGGGCCTGCAAGAAATGAACAAACTAACTAAAATATCAACGGCAGAGAAGCCACTTTAGGACAAAATGTACCTCTTTGGCAGATATATCTTCAAGATCCCCAGCTGGAACCCATTCCACAATAAGCTTTCTATTGCTAGCGACAGAAGCATGTAAAAGAGCCTGAACCATGAGGCTAAATATTAGGTTCTGATCTGAGTTCTTAGATATAGCCTATTAAATAAAATATGGTCTTTAAAAAATGGAAAGAAATTACGCAGGAATACATTGCATTTTAAACAGAGGGGACAAAATTTGCATTCATGAACTATAGAAACAGAATTGCTTCCCCGTTCCTTTCTTCTACAAAATTCTAGCATGAAGAGAAGCTTTAGAATGAAGTTTGTAATGGCCCTTAAGAAAAATATAAAAAAATACTAGTCCTTGTGGAAAGATTTGCTAACGTGGGAAACTYGCTTTTCTGTTGGCTATCTCAATTTATTAAATACGATGGCTTTTGTAATAAAATATTTAGATGGCAAAAGATTGAAAATTTTCATTTATAGACGATTGGAACTTTGAAAAGCATAGCAGGAAGGAGGTATTTGAAAGCTATGGTGGTTGGATAAGTACACATGACTTACCTCTTAAGTATTGGAATAGACAATGTTTAACAGCCTTGGGAAGCCATTTTGGAGGTCAGATAAGCATCTCCTATCAAACTCTAAACCTTATTGATTGTTCAAAGGCTTTAATTCAAGTTAAAACCAATCGCTATGGGTTTCTTCCAGCCGTAGTTGAAATTCAAGATCCGAAGTTGGGGATTGCTTTAGTGCGAATTGCAGAAGGCGGTAGACTTTCAAATCATATGCCTGGTGCTGTTAGACAAAACTCTTCGAATATGGATATTAGTTCTTGTACAAACTAGGTTGGGAGAAGATTTGAAGCATTAAAAGATAGCACCTTCAAGATTATTCTCAATCAACTTAATGATTAATTATTTCGCCCATGCCTAATGATTTATATTTAGCTATTTGGAAATCTAAAAGTCTCAAAAGTGTGTCATTCTTTTGTGGATCTTGCTAAACAAAGGGGTGAATACTGCCGAAGTCCTTCAAAAAATAGTTGTTCTCTTGTCATTTATATCCCTTCTGCTTGTGTGGATCTTGCTAAAAAAAGGGGTGAATACTGCTGAAGTCCTTCAAAAAAAATATTGTCCTCTTGTCATTTACAGCCCTTCTGCTTGTGTTCTATGCTACAAAGACATTGAAGATCAACTACATTTATTTTTTAGATGTGTTTATTCATTGAATTGTTGGCTCCTCTTACTTCAACAATTTAGTATGCAGTGGGTTTTCTACAAGATTCCGGTTCAACATCGCTCAACTTCTCAATGGTCCTATTCTATCCCCATTGGTTCAGTTGCTTTGGGTTAATGACATCAAAGCAATCATCTTTGAAATAAGGTCTGAGTGCAACTTGTAATGGGCATTATGAATTATCCAAATTTGAGGCCTCTCATTAGTGTGTTCTTTATTCAAATTTTTATGCAATTATTCTTGTAACGCCCCAGGAGCAGGATTCAAAATCTAGATTCGACACCTAATTGCCCCGGCATTCCCCTCCATCCCCTGCGACCTGGCTGCGCCATTCTATCTAAGCTACTTATAAGAGTGAAGATTGTCCCTACAGACGAATCCCTCTCTTTTGAAACCTCTTTTGATAGAGTTATTGTTTAGCTCTTGGTTGGTGTACATGTTTCTTTTCTCCTTTCAATAGCTACTCTCTAAACGACCTTATCACAAATCGGAAGGTATTATTGTAATTTGGCCTCGTGGCCTTTTGTACATTTCATACCATCAAATAAATATTTGTTTCATACCAGGGAAAAAAAAAAGAGCCATGGACCAATCATAAAACCTCGTTTACTAAGTGAATTTTTTTTTTTTTTGATAAGAAACATCAAAAAGGTGTATAGAAAGAGGGAAGAATCCCAAAGAGAGACAGCCTAAAGGCAGAGGGTAGAGAGAACCCTCCCCAAAGAACTAAACAATCAAGGCTTTCTAATCATGTAGGATGAGTTGGAGGCTATCCGCTCCCTGATTAGGTGAGAAATGCATTATGCATTAGCTATCCACTATCAGGTTGGGCAATAAGGAGCGGAGAATAGTAATTTCTCATTCTTAATACCAAAGAGGCAGACATGTATGTCTCCTCTCAGTCTAGTACTCTTAATTAATTTAATGAAGATCTTTGTCCCACCACAAAAACCAAAAAAGAACAAAAAAGAAAAAGACAAGACAGACTCTTAATAAAGTGCCTCGTAGTTCTATATGCTTCTTTGTTCCCTAGGCTCAAAACTATGGACTAGTGGCTCGTAGTGTAAGAACTCGTTACATAGATAAGATTTTATATACGCAGACACCTATTCATCGATGCATGCATATAAAAGATGGACTTAAAATTTACGAAGCCATAAAATTGCTAGCATTACATCAGAGAAAAAAAATCATTTACTTCAAAGCATAGAATTCACGATGGATTATTTGAAAAATAGGATGATTATTAACAATAATTATGCAAGAAATTTAGCAGACAGCAAAGCCTCCAAAATGCAGTAGTTATTTTAAATTTCAACATACCCCAAAACAGGGTCCCTACGCCCCATGCGGGGTTGGAAAGGTTTCATGTACTGAGACCTACCTTCAATACAGAGAGGTATGAATCTGAAAGGCCTGTGTATTTACCAACCATAGCAATCTTGACCTATTTATTTCCAGAGTTTGAAACAAAGATTAAAATGAATAATTAAATAAAAAAAGAAATATAGGATAAAGTTTAACAAATTAGATAAGTTCTCAAGACCCACGGAATCATGCAATTTATCATATAACCTTGTCCTAGATGTCCATCCATCTAAATCAGGTTCTCCTGCTACACTGAAAATTCGTAAATGTTAGGTGATCACTGTCTTTAGTGAAAATACATCCAAGAGATTCAGACAGATATGATGCAGTGACGTTAGATAAAGATTTTATGTCGTACAAAATTTCTTGCAATACTAACCTTTCAAGATTGAGTCCTTTTAGGAGTGCATTATGAGCCTTCTGATCCTGTTGAATAAAATGGTTTAGTCTTTCCTCGCATAAAAATAAATATGACTAAAAAATCACTTACTCTTAATAGCAGGGGAATATGCCAGATATTTGGCACATCATAGAGAGTAATTATATACTCTGCCTGTCAAGAACACAACTGATTAGAAACAACCCCAAAGCATCAAATGAGCATATTGAAGAAGATTCTCATATAGTACCGGCACATGACAAAATTGAGCAAGTTTTTCCTTAACATTTTCATCAAGTTCCTGTTAAAGCCAAATAAAGTCAGATTATGAACTAACTGCAGTCTCAAGCCCCTAAAGATAGTAAAAGGGGATAGGGAAAACCTTTGTGCTGCGACAAGCTAAAATATTTGGGACCAATCCCAGTCCTCTTAACCCTCGAACACTGTGTTGAGTAGGCTTAGTTTTCTATAGTTTAAAATCAATAAAATAATCAGGAAAATCAGTAATCATTAAAAAATTAATTCAATAAGATGCATAACCTTGTGCCTGATTTTTCTTTATCTTTTCTTTGACAAATGGCACAGTCAAAACAAATGAGTCGAAGGCACATATTTCATGCTTACCTGTTCACCAACTACATTGAGGACCGGAACAAGACTAACATGAACCAGACAGAAATTTCCAGGACCTAAAACAAGACATGTTAGGCAAAGAAGCAGGTTCCTCAAACAAATTTTAAAGAAGATTAACTTATATGATCAAATAAGCTTATACATAAACAACTCTGACCTACGTGGTACGAAAATTGCCCAAGTGCTTCAATAAATGGCATCGATTCAATATCTCCTGCGTGAAGTAAAACAAAACAGAGGCTAGAGGCTCTAGTTTTTTCCAATAAAAAGGAGTTTCTCTAGAACATGCTTTGAACTTGATGTACCTATGGTGCCACCCAATTCGATTACACACACGTCAGCTGGACCTTCTTTACCATCTACTGGAATCATTGCTACGCGCTCAATCCATTCTTGGATTGCATCTGTAACGTGTGGAACAACCTAAGAAAAATAAAATTAAAATTAAAATTAATGTACCATTAACATTAGATTATATAACTGAGAACATAACAACACCAGGTTGTAGCAGACCTGAACAGTCTTCCCAAGATAATCACCTCTTCTCTCCTTGTCAATCACTGACTGTCAAAATATCGAGGGAGGAAGTAAATCTAGGTAATGGTATTGCCGCAGGCATTACTCTATAAACATGAAGGTGCGCAAACACAGAGAGGCAATGTACCTGATATATTTTTCCAGTTGTGATGTTGTTATCACGGGTTAGCGTGATGTCCAAAAACCGTTCATAGTTTCCAAGGTCCAGGTCAACCTTAAAAAAGAAACCACTTATTTTACATCTATGAAACGGAGTAATTTCATAGAAGAGCAGATTTTTTATAATAAACCAAACTTTCATTTGAGGAAAAATGAAAGAATATATAAGGGGCTTACAAAAAAATCAAGCACACCAAAAGTGGACCGACCTATAATAAAGTGCAGCTAACTAGTAATTACAAAAGGTCTTAGAAACCGACGCCCACAGAGAGGTATGAAATCTAACTAGCTCTCAAACCTCCCCCAATACCTCTAAACACCTTAAAAATTTTCCTCTCGGTCCAAATGCCCCACAAAATAGCAAAAAAAGGAAACAAAAAAGAGAGAGAGAGAGAGAGCCTGACATCACAGGATCTCTCTATCCCAAAAGTTACAGTATATATTCTAGGTTTTTAATTATCTGTATACAACAGAACTCAGTCTCAATCTGATCATCAAGAAGCAAAAACTTCAATAGTGTATTCCAGTTGGAAATATTTAAATATGAAAATAAAATAAGAAAAAAGAGTGTCCCTCAACTCACACATAGAAGAATAAAGCAAGATATGAACTGAAATACATTTAAAAATTCAAAAACAGGGAAAGACCTCAAGGGACTCGACTTTATACACAGAAAACTTAACGTGAAATTTGTTTTTTTTTTTTTTTGGGAAACAATTAAGGCATCGACCATGTTTCATCATGCATGCTAAAACAGATAAAGCCATCAATTTACCTCACCACCATCATCCAAGACAAACACTTCACCGTGCTCAAAAGGAGACATGGTACCAGCATCTGTGTTTAGATAAGGATCTGCAGATATGAGCGAAACACAGAACACTGTTAAAGCACCTACATTAAGACTCGACATTGTGTTAAATGAAGCGTAAAAGGACAATGAGGATGCGACGGCAAACCGACAAACATTTTTGATAAACTTATGCCCATTATACGTTAGGAGGAACTAAAATACCAATCTTAATGGAAGTAACTCGAAGACCACAAGCTTTAAGGAGGACTCCGATACTACTAGCAGTGACCCCTTTTCCCAGTCCACTAACAACGCCTCCCGTAACCATTACGTACTTCATATTCCTCACGTTACGTAGGAGAATGGTGAGTTCAATGGAGGTTACCACGCAAAAATCCGATAATGCTGCAAGCATAAATAGGCATTAGCTCAACCTAGTTTTTGCATTAGAGATACCGGTTGGAGTAAGTAGGTAGTTCTGATGATATCGAAGAATACAAACAGGGATATAAATGGTCGGGGATGGGTGGAATATTGATATTAGAGAAATATAATTAGGTTACGTAGGAACGGAGAGATTAATGAGAAATCGACCTCGTTCACAGTGACGGTTTTTACAAAGTTCCAGCCCAGCCTCTTACCGCATTCTTCTTTTGCTCGTGCATTTTCTTTCTCTCCAGCAAAACCTTCTGTGATTGTTGAACTTTTTATAGACTGTATCTAAAGTCTTCCTCGGAAAGAATTGGAAAAGAAAATATTATTTTGAGTTTATCTTGGAATGAATCAACCTAGGAATGGGATAAGCATGAAAGCTGGCGTCCGGCGGGTTCTTCAGATTGGAAACGATGAAGCTTTTGCCAATAGCCGTATCTGATTTTTCCAAAGGCCGGGGAGAAACTTTTCCTGTATACCTGTGCCTCCCTCCCTTCTGTCTCGTGGGCGGCGGTGGCTGAGGAAGAAGAACAACGCACTTGAACCAAAAGAAAGAAATTACGTATAAATATGAAACAGGAGAGAGCATCACGAAGTTTTTTCTTTCTTTTTTTTTTTTAAACATCACCAAGTTTTTTCTTTTTCTTTTTCCCTTGTATTTGTGTATAAAATAATTCGATTGTCATGCCATGCTATCCTCAATTTTATTTTGTCAGTATTTCGCAGATCGGATTAAAATATTGGGGGAAAAAATACACTTTGACAGAGATAGACACAATTTTATCCTCAGTATTATTAAATATTTGATAATTTATTATTTTAAAAAATAATTTTTTTATATTTCTCTCTCTCATCAAATATTTAATAATAATAATTATAAAATTACGATTAATAACTCAATGATAATTAGCACGTGTCTCTGAACAAGAATTCAAGCCTCCATCAAAATTATAGAGTTGAAGAGATTTTTAGTTCAAAATAGAGACTTTTCTTTATATCTATTTTTAATTTCGAGTTCTTTTTTTCAATTTCCATCCAAAAAGTAAAAAGTTTCATAAAACAAGTCTTTTTATAGATTGATGAATTCTCATTCATCATTTGTTTTTTCCTTTTCATTTACTCGAATCATTTTCGTTTCTTCGATTTTGTCTAGTTTATTTTTTTCTTTCAGAAAAAGGGAAGATTAAGTATCTTATTTGGTGGATCCTTCTTGTTCCTTCTATTTAATTTCATTTGTTTCAAAGCTAGTTTCTTCGTGGCTTTCCCCCATTTTCTCCGTATATGAGGGGTTTTTTTTTTCCAATTTATAGAGAGAGAAATCTATATAGAATAGAGATGACAATGTAATAAGGGTCGAGATTTTCTCCCCCTTTTTGTCCTTGCAAAAATTTATAATCATCATCTTCACCTCATCCTCCAACTATGGGACTGAGGTCCAGATCAACGAACCCTCGTTTTGGACAGAGATCGAGGAAAATTATTAGTTTAGTAATTAGTTTTAATTATTTTTAAATTTAAAAACTACAAAACTTAATATATATATATATATATATATATATATATATGACACTCTTTTGGAGGGGTCACTTCGGGCTCGTTTGGTAACGGTCTCTGTACTTCTTATACAAAAGAAGTCATATGCACCACCAGGCCATTGATGGCTTTTTAAAACCATAAGACAAATATTTTATTTAACTTCAGACAGCGCCTGGACACAAAATAAAGAAAGAAACGGCAAAAACGAAACTATTTTTCATAGTTTCAAAAAATTGGTCCCTTTTTTGGAAACGTTTCTCAAAATTTAGAAACGAGAAACGGGATTGGTTACCAAACATGTATATTTCTCAAAAAATGATAAATAGGAACAAGAAACAGGAAATGAATACGTTACCAAATGAAACCTTCACTTTTGGCCTATGTTACAAAACAAATGTTTTCTATTTTTCTTATGTCATCTTTGATGTGAAATTACTTATTTCTCTCTTATTAAAATATCAATTTCTTGTTCCATCTTTCCTCCCTCCTCCTTCTATTTCAATATATATATATATCTTCCTAAATAATTTTTCTCTCTTTCATCTCTCTCTTTCTTCTATTTCCAAAAAATCTTCTTCCTTCCAAAATTCTGAGGCAACGGGAGACGGTTCTATGTAGTGACGTCGATCCATCTACCGATTCTCTGGCTAATGGATGTTCGTTCCTAAAGGTGCTGATTGTTGCCATTGCAGGAGTTTGAGCCATTGTCTGTTGGTCGATTTGATATATCGGAGTCGATTTATCATAAAATAAAAATCAACTCATTGTCATTGGGTTGAGTCAAATATATTATTTCTGATCGAAACCGATCGAATATGTTAAACACAGCATATATAAAACAATAATAATAATAATAATTGATATCATTAGATGTGTTGCAATATCATGGGCGCCTTTCCCATGCATTAATTTTTGTTTTTTTAATTTTAAAATTTTTCAAAAATCTCTTCAATCTCTCTTCCTTTCTTTTCATCTCAGTTCTGCGTAGTTTTCATCTCTTTTTCCTTTCACTATCTCACTTTCTTTCTTTTGTAAAAATCCATGAGATCCTTTCACCATCTCACTTTCTTTCTTTTGTAAAAATCCATTTAGAAAGATGAAGAGCTGTAAAAGAAGTTGAGAACTTGGAATGACCGTCAGTGCTTCTCTCCCTTTATTCTTTCTTTCCCTGGCTTTCTTCTCTTCTTTTTTTTTTTTAATTTCTATTTTTGTTTTTTTATCACATTTCATGAAGACAGATTATTTATTTATTTATTTATTTATTTATTATTATTATTATTATTATTATTATGGAGTACAACATGAAGAAATATTATTAAAAGGGAGTAAATTACAATTTTCTAAGGAAAAAAATATTAAAAGTATAGTTTTTTTTTTTAATTACAATATTGCACAATTATACATCACCTTGATCCATTTTTCTCTTTCTCCACCTCTGTTATTCTTTCTTTCTATTTATCGTCTCCATTTCTTCATCTCTAAATTGACCGACTACAATCGAAGTTATAGGATTTTCAAACACCGACAAGCTCCGATCAGTGGTCAGCCGGTTGGAGCCCAAAACTAACTCCAACTGATTGATCATCTCCCATAGTATTTGAGGTTTCTCTGAAAATACAAAGAGAATCAAACGATTTATAATTTCAGACATAACGATTTTTTAAAATGTAGGGATTATTAAAGTGTTAGTTTTTGAAACCTAGCCTCCATCAAATACTATCATAGCCTAAAATTTTATTTTACCTAAATTATATCTATTTGATTTTATTATTTCCTTTTTAAATTTGTGTAAACTAATTAAGGATAATAAAATTTTGTTGAATTTGATTAACCCCTCTTCTTTCTTGCCCTATCTTGTTTTTAGCCCAGAATTAGGCTAATTTGGATAATGTTATTGTTTTCTATTTCTAGTCTTAGACTCATTTCACTCCTCGTTCAAATAAAATAAAATTAGAATTGTATTACCATTTCTTTTGTTTTAATTTTTTTAGTAAAAAATAAATATAAACATGTTTAGAATTAATAGTCACATCTCTGTTTCTTGGCATCTAAAATTTTAAAATAAAAAAAAGTAAATTTTCATATGAAAATTAATCTTCTAAATTAAACATTCAAATTTTTATGTTATATTTATTTTTATTATTTATTATATATGCATTTTATAAGTAAAAATAGTGATTTTATTTAGGTTTCAAAAAACATGGAAATGGTATAACGATTAAAAAAAAATCAACTTAATTTTGTTCTGCCAAAAATTTTACATAATTAAGCTTGGTGTTACTCTTTTAAAAAGAAAGAAAGGAGATTTACCAAAGGGCCTAATTATGTTTCTGAGAAATGAAATAATACTAAACAGGCCATGAAAATGATGAATCCATTATTAAGCGTAGGCAACAATTGCAATAATAAAACTGCGTGATCTGATCTCCCGTAGCCTTACTTGGAGAATTTGATATAGTCGGCGTCAGAGCCAATATAGGGATAGGGATAGGGATAGGGATAGGGAAAGGGATTTCTTTTGAAGTTAGGGTGTCCGGGATTAGGAAGCAGCTGATCCGAATTAAGCGTAGATTTGGCACGGTAGGAGTAGTGTTGATCCGAAGCAAGCAGCTTATTCAAGAATGACCAATCAGTAGTGTTCAATCGCTGATCATGTTGCACCACCCCGCAACTTAGCCTCCACAAAGTATTTTGAGGACTGTCTACGGCGGCGTTTAAAGAGATAGGTGGACATGCAACTGACGACTCTGGACTAAACAATTGCGGCAGCTGCATGCACCCATCAAAGCCATAATCATTATATGCCTCTTGCATTTGCACGTGCTTATTTCTTAGCTCTCCTATTCCTTCACCCGAACTAGAACTACTACCCATACCCAGCTTCGTATTATCATAACCGGTACCCAACTCATGTTGTTGCGAAACCTCCGGCTTCTGACTTTTCTTCTTGAAAACTCTGCACACCACCCACGCATCTTCCTGCAGCTTTACACAAAAAAACAAACCATAAACCTCTTTCCTTTGGAAAATACTTCACTAGGACCACCCATTAAAAAAATTGACATGTATAAAAAATATATGATTTTACATTCTTCTTAGTTGTGGTAGTGAGTATACAACATCTCCTTACTGAACCAAATATTATTTTCTATATAATTAATGATAAATATTTGGCTCCTCACTAGTAATATTGTCCTGGGGAGAAAAATGTAAGAACAAATTTTTTTTTTTTTAAATGATGGTTTGGTACATACTGGAGGAACTTCAGGATTGTCATCGTCAAGACGGTATTCATGCATGATCCAATCAGTCTTTTGGCCATGGGGAGCACGACCTGTGTAGAACACCAGTGTCTTCCTCATGCCAATCCTCTTGTAATTGCCGCCCGTGTGAATTGCTTTGTCTCTCCCTGTTGCCTTCCAAAATCCGGCGCTGGTTGCTCTATTAGTTCGAGTTCCAGTCGGATATTTTTTGTCCTTATGGCTGAAGAAATACCATTCGTTTTGATGCCCAGATCCAATTCTACATTTCTCTGCAAACAAACACTCATATATTAATTACTTGTTTGTTCATTAATTTGCATGTACGTGTACGTTACTCGTTGTTCCATGCAGCAACGACAAAATAATAATTAAAATAGACAACCTTTGAGGTCCCAAGGCTCCAGTTTGTTTAGGTCCACTTCCCTGATAACATCCAGCTCAATGGCTTCATACGAAACCTTCTTCCTAAGGTAATAATAAAGAAGCTCCTCATCTGTTGGATGGAATCGAAAGCCTGGAGGAACTGTCAACTGTTGTCCATTTTCCGGGATCATCCTCTTTTTTTGTCTATGCAAATCCATGAACACGCGGATCAACAAAATTTTCAAACAATATTTGTATACAAGAAATATATACTTCCAGCTGGCTAGCTAAGAAACCACTAAAATTTTCACAAACATATAGAAGAAGAAAACTTAATTTGTAGCATGGTCTGTAGGCGCTAGTTTCGAGATTAAACAGATCTGAACTATTTTTTTCTTAAAAGGAAAAAAAGAAGAAGGGAAAAACGAAATGTGACTTTAATTTATTTTCTCCCAAAATATTTCGAAGAAATGATCTTTTATATACGAACACAATTATTAACTCATTAGTTACAATTTGTGGGATTTATTGGTGAGGTTAAAACTCCTGTATTGTGATTTCTTTTATTTGTGAGGTTTAAACAAACTCACAAACCTAATTTAGGTTGAAAGTATACAAAGAAGATTATTGAAAGATACAAAAGAAACAAGCAACAAGAGTAGTGAGTTACATCTTTTAGCCTTCATATACGAGGGGACAAAAAGAAAAATGCGACGTGGGCGCGCGCTCTCTCACACACAGAGATCACAAGCAAAGAGAAATGTTAGTTCTTAATTCTAAACTAACATCAACTAATTTTTTTTTAATTTTGTCTCTAATTTTTCCAAAGACAATTGTAATAATAACAAGAGTGGAAAAGGAAAACATTAATTGGACAGAAGAAGAAAGCAGAAGAGGAACACAGAAAAGGCAAACCTGGCTGTTGAGGAAATACTTCAGTCTGGGAGAGGAAGAAGAGAAGAGAAGACAAGAGGGCAGTGGAGAAGAGAAGAGAAGGTGAAAGGAAAAAGAAGTATAGTATACGATTGAGAAGTTGCCTTCAACGGCACGACGTGAATTTAAAAAGGGAGGGATAGAGAAATGTTAGCGCAAAGGTTAAGATTGACTGACAACCGATCAAAGATGGGCACAGAAATAAAGGATAAAATTAGTATAAAATTAATTTTCAAGTAATTAATTTTTTTCTTTTTATTTGGGAGATGGTGGGTCGGGTTGATTATTGAACCGTATTAGAAGAATATGATTAGAGTAGGAACAGGCTTTTCGTAAAATGTCTGTTGAACGGGGGACCTTACACCCAGAAAATATGAACAAAATCTGCACAACTGTCAATTTAATACTTTTAATCCCTTCTCTTTTTCCTCTCCACCCTCTACTCCCTACCCCTCGAACAAATCTTGTTTTGAAAAATTGACAACTTATTAATAAGAAAGTCTTTCTTTTCCTATTTTTCAACAGTTTTAATTATCAAATTAAAGGTAGTGAAGGCAAGATTGATCTATGTAACTAGCAGTCAAGTATATTTCTACCAATAAAACTTCTCCCAATAAAAACTGATATAGTTGGGGGTATTTATGGTTAGGTTCCATTTGTATACTTGGTGCAATTTGACATATCTTAACTAAACCCTTTGCATGGGCTCGCCGCGCACTTGTATGATCTGGAGAAGCTTACTTGTCTTATAGTTTAGGTGCTTTATCCGTTTTTGGTTTTATTGCTTGTTGTTTTGTCTGGTTCAATAATACTGCTTATCCGAGTGAGTTTTACGGTCCCACTGGATCAGAAGCTTCTCAAGCTCAAGCATTTACTTTTCTAATTAGAGACCAACGTCTTGGAGATAACGTTGGATCCGCTGAAGGACCTACTGGTTTAGTGAGGTATACTAGAAGTAAATCAGATACATATTAATTAAACTTTTTCGTTACATGATTACCTAAATCCTTATTAAACTTCTACCAATAACAAAAGTTTATCTTTAATTAATTTAATACATGATTTTGGTAATTAAGAAAAAGTTAAAAATACATATTTAACCTGTATAACAATTTAGTTTTGAACTTTTACCAGTAAAAACTGTATTTTGAAATTGATTACAATTTACTCTGGGTTGGAGGTGAGTTTTGACGTATTATGGTTGGAACAACAGCCATAAACGTTCCTCTATATGAGAAATGTTTACTTCGACTATGATATCTCATGCTGGGCCGAGCAGCTATGCATGCCGAGCCGACCAAAAATGTGCCTTGGGTTACCTCGGCTCGGTCCTTTATCCGACAAACTTCACGATAGCACGCGTATCGCACGACGACCTTAAAGAGTCGTTGAGACCTTGTCGGGAATCCTGTCGGGTTTTGCACCTATAAATAGGACTATTTCGCTTCATTTCGAGGTACGCAATCAAATCCATTCTCTCTTGAATTGACTTGAGCACTTGCTGACTTTAGTATCGGAGTTTCTACTCTGTTTTACAGATTCTTTACACGACTTCTAGCGAGCCAGCTGTCCAGCTCATCCTTGCCCAGCTAAAGTTTGGAGATTTGATCAGATTTTTGATCAAACACTCTGGTTTTGGAATCCTCTGTTTGCAATAATTTACAAACCAGAATGATTTTAAAATCATTTATGTTGTTTGGTTGGTAAAGAAAAAGAAGAAATTTGAAAAGAAAAAAAAGTACCATTTGAAATCATGTTTATATTTCCAAATAGGTCGAATTTGAAAGAATTTAAAATTAAAAGGTAAACCGATTCTAAATTCACCATATAAATAGTACAAATGGGACAAATAGATATTTTTTAAAATTTATTCTCATCACTCTATATTACACCCCATATAATTATTTTCTGTATTTTTTTAGCCATAAACGGCATAGTACACTTGGTTTTCTCTTTTGCCTCCCTACTTATGTGTTTTTAGTCACCATTCAATCAAAATATAACTTGATTCTCTATATTGTTGGTATATGTGACCAATTTTTTTTATTTCAATTTTTATAACACTAATTTTTCGTTCCAAATAGATTTGATTGGCAGTTGATACATTTAAAATTTCTTTTTAGTTTTTTTTTTCTATTACATTTTTATTAGTTGAAGTATTATTTAAAAAAAACAGAGAAAATAAATGGACAAATATGATGGAAAGTTAAATTATGGTTTAAGTTTTACTAGTTATAACAAACCTATTTTTATTTACCTTTAAAATAATTTGAATTAAAGTTTTTGAAAAATATATATTTAAAGCGACACATTTAAAAAAAAAAGAAATTATTTGCAAAATTTAATTTAGTAAGTTTATTTGATTAAATGATTTTATTTATATGAAGCCGACATTACTATTTAATATTAAAATAGTAAACATCAAATCAATAAGTTTTAATTTCGAAAGATTTAAAATTCATTTGATTCTAAAAGTTGTCCTTTCCATCTCTTAATCTTGGAATTTAAAATAATTTCCTTCCTCTTTTACTCTTGTAACTTGAAATTTTTTCCTTTCTAAGTCCAAATGTCAAAGGCAGCATTAGTCCCTACATTAAAAGTCATGTATGTGGAGAAATTAATTCGCCAACTTGCAACCCAGAACCGATCGATTCAACCTTCCACCCATCACGATTCAACCTTCCACCCTTCACGATTCTCTCGGCTTTCAACCCAGAATATCAAAGATATCTCCGCATTTTCGACTCTCCCACCCTTCACCATCCTTCGACCCAGGATCCAAGCCTAGATTCATATTCCATCCCGATTTTCTGAGGTTTTCGTTTCCCTTGAACTAAAATTACACCCCAAATCACAATCACGACAAAAACAATTCCAGAGGGAGAGAGAGTCAGAATACTTGGTTTTGGTTTTGGTGTTATATTTTGATGAGATAGATGCGGGAAAAAAAGGCCCACAAGGTGTTTGATTAAATTACCGAAAGAAGACAAAGGTTTAGTTTTGCTGGGGTTGAAGGGCCGCCTATTTGGCCACAAGCAGGAGCACCAATGGGCGATGCGTGGTGATGACCTTTCTTTCTTTCTGGCATCTGGAATAGCCATCTGGTCTTTCATATCATTTTAAAGCCACTTAGAACTAACTGCCCTTTCTGCATCGAAAGCCAAGAGAGTCGGGAAGGACGGGGAGGTTAAATCTCATCCAAAATTTCCATTCAATTTTTTTTAAGCCCCAGATGTGTCTTTTTAACCTAAAAAATAAATGTTTACTGTGGGTTTTTCTAATTACCTTGAAAAAAAAAATTGGGCCGAGTAACTACGCAATACTTTTTGGGAAAATACTTATCCCACACCACCTAGTGATGCTTCAACAACTATTGTTTTTCTGCTCCAAGTATAGAACTTAGAAGGGTACGGTATTGATGCTGGATCTACTATTGCCCTTGCTGGATTTATACATGCTCCAGTAGTGATTGGCTTTTGAACTGAGTCGACATCGGTTAAATAAATTCATCCCAAGAGAGATTCGGGTATGAAGCAAGTATGTCTTGACTAATGGATAGACTCCTTTTTGATTTGGAGAACCAGTAAACTAACCCTATATCAATCACAATGGAATGAAGTCTTTTGGGAACTTGGGGTTTCTGACTCATTTAATAATCAATTCGCCACCCAATCTTATTTGCGACTCCTCCCAACCCATTTTCATTTTTAGTCATTATAAAATTACCAAAATATCCCAATTAAAAAAAAAACTCTGAGTTATCAACTTTCTGAATTATTATTAAAATCTTTTATTTTTTCAAAATATAAAATTATTTTGAAACCTACTTCAAAGTTCCAAACAACCTCTAAATCTTTAGAAAATACAATATGATAAGAAATCTTATTGGAAGGACTTATTCCAGTACTTATCTCGACCACTCTTTTTCAGCATCTAAATATGCTGAATATTTTTCATAAAGTAGGCAATGGATTGTAGCGAATGGTTGTTGCACTAGCAAAGTAGAGAAGAGAGGCAATAGCGGAAAAACAGAAGCAATCTTGATTGAAAGCATAGGATATAACTGGCTAATGGTTGGGCTTAGTTGAAAAGTGGGGCAGCATGGTGATGAAAGCAAAATCCTGCACTCCTCCACTGCCCTTGCATTGTATTGCATGTGTGAAGAATGCACGATTCTAGGCCTCCATTGCCATTGCCATTGCCAAAGTCTATGTACAGCTACAGAAGAGATGTGATTAACTCCGGTTCAGACTCAAAGGGATTCCCACGCAATCGCTTTCTGCTCTAAGTCAAAATGCCACGTCATCATATTATTAATACTTAATTACCCTTCATTATTAGCACAAATACAACTAGCATCGTTGCCTTCACGTATACTTCACAAAAAAAACATTATTACTCGGGCCTAACGAGATGGGAATCAGATGGCTATTTCCATTTGTTGTTTTGTTATACTATTGCGGGCATTAACATTTATATACACGTTCCCTCGTCGCAGCCGCATGCATGATGTACTCTACTCTACTATACTATGCTGGATATTAATTAAATCAAATGCACACTAGGTCTAGGCCATGAACTTATCAGTCCACACTCCCAATCCATTCATTCTTTTTGCGTTAACCATATCAGTAAGAGCTGTCCAATATAAGATATTAGAAGCACAGTCATTCTAAATAGAACCAATCAATTTGAACGCTTTCCATTTCCAAATTCATATATTTTTTTAATACGAGGATATGGATTCAAATTCACTAACGTTTTGGTCGAAAGTAAGTACTTTAACAAATTGAACTATGCTCGTGCCGGCAAGTTCAGAATCCTTGAAACTTACTAATTTTGATGAAGCAAAAAACAGCTCAGACAACTAATTGAGCCCAGACAACTAATTGAGTTATCAAGAACATTAATAAACCTAATAAAAAGATCCAACCCCTTCAACAATGGCTGTAGTGCAAAGTTGAAACTTTGTACGTCCCTATTAGTGCTTATGACTAACAACGCAAATGACAACTGACAAATGAAATTGGTAGCTACAAACACAATATATTAAATTTCAACTCAAAAAACTCAGCAGGATGTTGATATTCAAGAAATATTCTCTTCAAGAACATAGCTAGAGTTCATTATAGCTACTACAATAATTAGGCCATCTTCTATCGGACCATTGTTGATGATTAACCTACATATCCATCAAATTGAAAAGCGGGTTGTATATCACAAGAGGCGCTCATAAGGTCTCCACTCCTTCACACTCCCTCTTAAAGGCTCCGGAACAACAGTAGACCAGGAGAGCAATTCTGGAAATGGTCCAGTCAGAGCAAGATAATTGTCACCCTTTCCTTTCGGCAGTTTTTTCCAACATAACTGTGGAATTAAAAAGTTAAAAGTGAGATATTCAACTTCCATAGGCTTGTCCAGAGCGACTGCATAATTATCAATGTTTCTAAGCACAAAATATCACATGACTATGATGTGATAGTAACTTCATCTTAAAACCAACATATTTCACCAGCTTTAAGTTGGCAACATCGTGACTTGGAAAATCAGTCGTGCTAACATGTTCAATATATCTTACAAGAGCTGTCTTAGTTACAGATATGAACATTGCCTATAAGCGATAGATATTAGGTCAAGTGTCACAACCAAGTCAGAAAGAAAGAACTAGTGAAAGAATTGAACTACTCTAACAACCAGAGTTAAAAAAAATGTGTAAAATCTACAACTTGCAAAAGTACCGCTAAAATAAACTTGAATAAGGAATGCTGTTAAATGTGAGATATTGTTGGTTCATGTAAAAAGAAACATTCCCGAAAAAAGACAATGCAGACAGGGTGCAAGATTTTAGACCGATTAGTCTAGACGCAAGTTTATACAAGATCATAGTGAAAACTCTAGCTAATCGGGCTTAGAAAGGTCCTTCCTAGTACATCTCCAAAAATCAAGGGGCCTTCGTCACTGGAAGACAAATCTTGTATCAGGTGCTTATTGCCAATGAGGCCATTGAGGATAATAGGACGAGAAAGGAGAAGGGAATTATTTTCAAAATTGATTTTGAGAAATTCTATGATCATTTAGATAGGAACTTCTTGGACAAGATCTTCTGAAAGAAAGGTTTTGGCTTTAAGTGGAGGCTTGAATTTGGAACTGTACTAGTTATGTGAACTTCTCTTTTCTCATCCATGGAAGACTTAGAGGAAAAGGTTTGGCGATGGACCTGAGGCAAACCCTTTATCCCATTTCCTCTTCATTCTAGTTGTTAACGTCCTCAGTAAATTGGTTTCTACTTAGGTGGAGAAAGGGTGTATAGAAGGTTTCTATGTGGGGAGGGAGAGGTCTTGTTTGTCGCATCTTTAATTTGTGGATGATACGCTATTCTTCTGCTCCGGGAAGGAAAGCTCCTTCTTTAACATCATATGGCTGCTTTCCTTCTTCGAATCTATTTTGGGCCTTAAGATGAATAAAGGAAAGAGATCGATTATAGTCATCAATTGTGAGCCCTCCCTTGCAACGTGTATGGTGCATCATCTGCGCACTTCTTATCTTGTTTGACCACAATCCGAAGATTGAGTCTTTCTAGATTCTCGTCTTGAAGCGTCTTTCCTTTTGAAGATAAACTTTATTTTCTAAAGGAGAGAGAATCACTCTTATTTATTTCATCTCAAGGGGTATTCCGATCTACTTCCTCTCCCCGTTCAAAATCCAAGTGTTGGTGAGCTAAGAAGCACGGATACGGATACGAGACATGGATATGACATGACACAGACACGGTGGTACGTTATTTTCTGAAAATATAGGATACAGACACGACAAGGACACATTTATTAAATATACAAATATACGACAGCTTCAATTTCTTTTTGTTTTAGATTTTGAAGGGTCTTTTTCGGCAGAATCAATTTCTATGGTTAAAGAATTTGAATGGTCTTTACAACAGCATATTCTATCTGACGATCGTTCTGTTGGCCATCTCCTTGGATGATTAAAATTAGTTTTTCAGTTTTATGTTGGATTCCGTTGAAGTTTTTGGATTCAGTGGTTTCAATTTTGTGTCATTTCCTACTGAAGACATTGTTTCAAGGTGCTCTATTAAAGATCCATGTCTCATTATTTATCTCTTTTGTTCATCGTTCTCTTCATTAGTGGTTAATGGTTTTTATTCATCATTACCTTTCAATCGGTTTGTATTGATACTTGTTGAGCTTGTTATTTGTTCTTTTTAAAACCCATCCGTTTTTTTCATATATCAACGAAAAGTGTTGTAAACCTAATTGGTTACTTCCAATTACGTAAATCAATAGTTCAAACCGCACTCAAAGGTAGGGCATTTCAGATGTGTATAAGAGACAGATTTCTAGGTTTCGTCGTAAACCTAATTGGTTACTTCTAATTATGTGAATCAATAGTTCAAACCACACTCAAAGGTAGGACATTTCCCATTTGTTTCTTGTCAAAAAAAAAATTATATACATAATTACTACCAAAGACGACCTTTAGAGTTGACCGCCATTATAATGTTACTAGTTATGAGAATATTGTTTCCAACCCATCCGGTCAACACGATTGCATTTTCTTTCGTAGCTCCAAACAAGATTATTGGATCATGCAATACGTTACATATAGCGCAATATTGGAGCTTTCTAATTTTCACACAACGAGCTAGTCCTTTATATTTAGAAATGGAACTTTTACCTTCCTCTCTGAGAAGTCATTAATCTAATACTATTATGCCTTACCTGTTCAGGAAATGCTTTCGAAAGCACCTCGATCACTGAATTTTGTGGCCAGAAGCAATTGGTTAAGGATACTTCACTGCAGATACCATTGCCAATGACATTGGCTGCTTCATTCCCTCCACAGTTAATCATGAGCCGACCACCAACCATCAATCTATCCTTCAAATCCAACCACATGCCAGCCTATTATAGAAAGGAACAACATAGTGAAATGAAAATATCCCCATCATATGCAAGTGAAAATAAGAAGAATGATGAACAGCAGTACGGCAAAGTAAGAAAACCATCCTACACCAATCTTGAAAAGACTAGGGAAATAATTTACAAATACCTAATCGCACTTTTGGAAGGCTGTACTTAATATTTGTGACAAGACATTCAAACTTGGGACTGGAGAAATTTTCAGCGCATACAACATGAAGCTTTGCATTGCTGTTGGATCATGTTAAATTATATTTGTTTATCTTTTATTTTCCTATTACATTTAGGTTCTAATAGGTTACGATTTCTTTGTTTTAATAGGCAAGTGTTTCTTTCTCTCTCTCTTTTTTATTCTTCCCCGCCGCTGCTATTTATATCATTGTATCAACTCTTAAAAAATTAAGAATTATTTTTCTTAGCATTAACAAATCATGATGATCCCTAAGGGTGCGTTTGGAGTGTAGCTTCGACAAGAGTAACCTGGGAATGTTTACTGAGGGTTAAATTTTGGGGCGTTGTGATATCTAAGATTGAAAAGCTTTTGCTCAGAGGGTAGAAATATGTAGTATGGGATTGGGTAGCTTGTTTGGGGTTTAGGAATGTGTAACTCAGATTTGGGTTTTTTAATTTCTTTTTTATTAAAAAAAATCTTGATTTTTTTTTTTTTTGTGAACTATTCCACCCCAATATTGTATTTCATTCTCTAAATTAAAAACTAAAAAAGAAAAAAGATGGTGGGAACCCATTACTGTTCAACCCCATGAGATTTAATTGAGAAACCTAAAGTTTCTAATTTCCTGCCCCAGACATGGGTTTGGCTTAAGATGCCAAGTCCACCACATTCCAACACAACTAAATAATGGAACTTGAAGGACACCCATTCCTCTTCACACTGAAATATTCTACAAATTGATACCTCTGAGTGAATGACATTCTTAGCCATATCTGCAAGTTTAAATAAGGTGAAGTTTCTCTGCGGTCTCTTGCCCATAAAAGTGACAACACAATGGACAAGGACAAGCATTAAAAAGAACAAGGCGTTCCAGTTTCGTTAGTTCTCCTCATATTTGCCCGAAGTAGCCTGGTTAGAGAAGACATTAACCATGATCTCATTCATTACCTTTTTACCTAGAAACGAAATCTTTTTAACACTTCCTAGTTTCGCAATCAAATATTTTTCAATCTCTTCCTACAATCCTTTCAACTTTCAAGTTTTAGATTTTAGACAAAGCAAGCTTTGTGGATGAATGCCTCTATAAAGTTCTCAACATCGTATAATAAGCATAATTTTGGATTCAACATCACTATGGTGTTCATTGTCCTATCTACAAGACCATTTTCCCTTTTGCCTCTCATCAAACCATGGCTGAGAGGTGAAGCGCCTTTCTG